TCTTCAGCCAGAGTTTCTTCTGTACTCTTTGCCAACTTGGGCATGAGTACCACCTTCTGTTTTCATTGCACATTAGCAACATTTTCTGGAGGTATACATGAATTATGTATGAGCTTCGTACCAAGCCACTATTGCTGGTATCCTTTCTGTCTCTCCATAGAGGCAAGGAAGTCAACCCCGGTTGGACCTGCTGCCTGTAAAGTAGTGGTCATTGGGGTACATGTGTGCTTGTCATAGTGCTTTATTTTTTTACTTAGAACGTTTATGCCATTTATTTATTTACTTACTTACTATATTTATGCCCTGACCTTCTCACCCTGAAGGGGACTCAGAGCGACTTACAATTAGGCAACAATTCAATGCCCCCTAAAACAGATGTTGTTTATTCATTCAGTCGCTTCCAACTCCTTGTGACCTCATGAACCAGCCCATGCCAGAGCTCCCTGTCAGCCATTGCCAACCCCAGCTCCTTTCAGGTCAAGCCAGTCACTTCAAAGATAACATCCATCCATCTTGCCTTTGGTCGGCCCCTCTTTCTTTTTCCTTCCATTTCCCCCAGCATCATTGTCTTCTCTAAGCTTTCCTTTCTTCTCATGATGTGGCCAAAGTACTTCATCTTTGCCTCTGATATCCTTCCCTCCAATGAGAAGTCGGGCTTTATTTCCTGAAGTATGGACTGGTTGGATCTTCTGGTGGTCCAAGGCACTCTCAGAATTTTTTTTCAACACCACAGTTCAAAAGCGTCTATCTTCCTTCGCTCAGCCTTCCTTACGGTCCAGCTCTTGCAGCCATAGGTAACTATGGGGAATACCATTGCTTTAACTACGCGGATCTTCGTTGCCAATGTGATGTCTCTACTCTTCTCTATTTTATTGAGATGGATCAATGGTCTCTTCCCAAGAAGGAAACAGCTTCTGATTTTCTGGCTGCAGTCTGCATCTGCAGTCATCTTTGCACCTAGAAATACAAAGTCTGTCACTGCCTCAACGTTTTCTCCCTCTATTTGCCAGTTATCAATCAGTTTGGTTGCCATCATCTTGAGTTTTTTAATGTTTAATTGCAACCCAGCTTTTGCACTTTCTTCTTTCACCTTGATTAGAAGGCTCCTCAGTTTCTCCTCGCTTTCAGCCATCAAAGTGGTATCATCTGCATATCTAAAGTTAATGTTTCTTCCAGCAATTTTAGCCCCAGCCTTGGCTTTGAAACAGACATACCAATAATATAAACATACACATTAAAAGCCATAAAGTTAAAAAGCATCTAAACATTGAAACCAATTATTAAAATTACACAATCCAAAATCATAGTCCAGGAGCCATTCCAGTTGTAATTGCACTTATTCCATATTCACATTGCACGGAAATTACTGTTTGAAGGCTTGGTCACACAGCCACTTTATTACTTTCTTTCTAAAGGTCAGGAGGGAGGGGACTGATCTGATTTCACTGCGAAGGGAGTTCCACAGCCGAGGGGCTACCACTGCGAAGGTCCTGTCTCTCGTCCCCACCAGTTGCGCCTGCGAAGAAAGTGGAACCAAGAGCAGGGCCTCCCCAGAAAATCTTAACCTCCAAGGTGGTTCATAGAGGGAGATACATTCAGACAGGTGAGCTTGTGAGTCAGCTCCTGGCACCATCTTCGTTACTCTGCTGTCCAAACAAGACAAAATAAAAAGCCTTATGGACAGACTGAACTGAGTCTATCATACTTTGAACATATCTTGAAACAAAATGACTCATTGGAAAAGACAGTAATGCTTGGCAAATGATTTTGCAAGATCTCAGCAGCACTGTTAATAGCACTGTCACTTTGTGTATGTCTATCTTTCATAAGGTTGCCATACGTTAAATTAGACTGGGCAGCTTATAACAACACCAACATTTCTGGCACAGTGTATAGGAGTGTTCTGAAAGTGGTGCATGTGATATTGATGTAGAAGCACAATGCATATGTATCGGAGGAGGTGTGGCAGGACTCCATAAAATATCTCAGGAATTTGAAATAATATGCCCTTTGTGGACTGATTTGTGAAGGCAAGTTTGCATAATAGTGACTATTCTTTCCTCTCCCCCCGCCCCACTAAAGAAATTATACAGCCGAGCAAACGAAAAATGCCATTCTAATGTTTGAATAGTTGGATGCAAGTCTAAACATGCCAGGATAGTGCTTGGGATGCTCTGCCAAATGCTTGTCTCCGGCTTGCATCTGAACATTGAGGCTCCAGCTGCAGATGTTTTTAATTTCCAGGTGCTTCTTCAAGATTATTTTGAAAAGATGAGTAGGAGGGAAATTGTGGAGCTATTGAACCAGAATTTAGGGGTCAAATGAAATCAGACAATTAAATACATCTTTGAATTTAATGAATGTGCAGGCTTTAAAAAATGAAAATAGAACCAGGAAGGATGTGTATGTGAAGGGATGGTGGTGATAATGATCAGGCATGAAGGGGGAATTCATCAGTCCTTCCCCTGCTGTGGTTCTGAGGAAAATGTTTTCTCTGATGTTGCTGTTAGTAATGGGAAGAAATCCCTAACAGGCAAATGCCAGCTTCAGAGGAGGGATTATCCTTAGGACTGTGGCATGGAAGGAAAAGATAAGTTCTCCTTCCACATCTACAGCAGTCCTAATAATTAGAAATGTAGGCAGCTGCCTCTGTACTGAATGAGACTTATCCAGTATTGTTAACTGTGACTGGTAGCAGTTCCCCAAGTGTACAGGCCAGGGAAAATGCGTTGAAACTGGAATTGTCTCCATCCAAGGATACTGACCAGCGCTCGCTCCCTTCTCTCATTAAGTCCCATCAGAGGCCTGTTTAGCATCATTCTTCATTTGGCTGCATGTGGTAACAATTGACAATTCACTGTATCTTTGAAGATCAGCGTTAGTTTTTTTAAAAATATGCCTACAGAACTTTGTATAAGCATTATGCCTCTCAACTTATGAACCACCAAAACTATTGGTAAGCTTTAGGGTACTGGCATGCAAAATCACCCTGAAAGTTACTCCAGGAGCTGGAATGCACAATTATGTCTCTGGAAAAGGGAATAATGTGCTAAGAAAAATGTGAAATCATCTTGAGTCTGTTGGTGAGAAGTTTACAGTGGCCCCTTGCTCCTTTGTGGTCCACTTATTGCGAACTTGCTGTTTTTTGTTTTTTTTTAAAAGAATTTGGCCCTCCATACCTTTCTCATCCTACTCCTCTTCGCCGCCTGGGGCCTCGTGCTGCTGCTTGGGCCCCATGCAGCGTCACAGCAAGAGGCCCCAGGCAGCAAAGAGGAGGAGGATGAGGAAGGTAAGGAGGGCGAGGGTGGAAGAAGAGCCATTCCCTCACCCTCCTTACCTACCTCTTTCTCCTCCTCATCGCTGCATGAAGCCTCTTGCTATCGCTTGGGGCCCGCAACTGAGGAGGCATCACAGGGCCCAAGTGGTGGCAAGAGGCCCCAGGCGGCAATGAGGAGGAGGAAGAAGAAGGTAAGGAGGGTGAGAAGGGAAGGTGGGGGGGTGTCCCTACATCATGGAATTTCACTTATTGCGGGTGGTCCAGGAACGTAACACCCGCAATAAGTGAGGGATCACTGTATGTTGATCCCATGCTTTGTTAAATGCTTGTCTCTTGCTTGCATCTGAACATTGATGCTCATCCCATGAACATATCAGGATGCACACAAGATTAAAAAACCCTAAAATCCTCTTGATGTGCCTGTAATATTAAATATATTGGCTATTTCAGGATCTTTTTGCATGACTGATAAACTGCAACAATCTCTTCTTGTTTCGACCTGCAATTTGCTTTCATTGAAGCTAGTTGCAATACTCATCTTTTATTTCAAATAAATGGAGGAAACAACTCTATGAGACTGTTTGTTTCACTTCCGTGCCTCTTGCTGAGGTTGCCCAGCATTGAAGGGGGCTCACATGTTACAGGTGAAAGGTGACTGGGATCATTGGTAGCTGTTTGAATTGGGATGCTTTCCTTTCTTGAGTTGTAGTTTCTTGGAGTGGCTTTTTCCAATGAGCATAAGCAAAATTGTTTTTATTTTGTAGGTTAGAGCTCAGCAACAGGCCCCTCTGGCCTTTTCTAAGTGTACAAAGAAAAAGCGTTATTCTTATAGTCCTCGGCACTGTCAAACTATAAAGTATTTAAAGGCTTCTCATGGTGTGTTGGCAAGTGATTGACGCTAAGCTGAAGCAGGTGCAGAGAGCGTGGCGGCTTCCTCTAAGTTGGGCATAGGGGGGGGGGGGGGGGGGAGGACACCACTAGACTTGGAAAACAAACTGCTGCCCCTCCCTCTGCCCATTGGCTGTGCAGACTTTTGGATTACATGGCAGCTGGTCCTTTGACTGGTACACCAAAGATGGAGCTGACAGGGTTGGGGCCTGCAAACCTACACCTCCAGTTTTGTGTAATTCAAGCTGAATTGCAGAGAGGAAAGCTGGTCTGTAGTGCACTATCTGTCTTCTGCAGACTAAGGGCCTCAGGAGGATCTAGTGAGCTATATTTGCATATATTAAGTCCATGCATGTAAGTATATGCGCGCGCGTGCACACACACACAAACAAACAGCTACTTTGAATTTCCTTAGTCCTTTCCTCAACTCTTGTGCCACTTATGTGAACCGGCAAAGCACTGGTAATCATTTCTGTTCTAAAGCTGGAAGGATTGAAAGAGCCATTTAGCTGAGTGCCCTGCCCACCCACTCACTTTTGCATTTCTCTCCCAATAATCAGCTTGACAGAGTCTAGATCCTGCTGTTCCCCAAGGCGAAAACAAGTCCCACTGCCTTGGCTCATGTGAAGCAGGAAAAAAGACTGGAGAAACTCCTGAACATGTACAAAGAAAACTGTCCTACTGCTTCATGGTACTTTCTTATTCGAGCAATTGTTCACAAACTCTGGGGAGGGGGATGTAAATGAGGTGACTCTGTGGAAATCAAGGTCATCGTTAGGAGGCCAGTCTCCCTGGAGTGGCTTTCTTATACCTTGTTGTTTGTCTTTCTTTGCAGAACAGACCTTCGGATTTCAGGCCGGGGAAATCGCCATGCGTCCCTTCCTGATGAGAAATGTTCCAGAAGCTCAAGGCTGCCAAATCTCCATCTCGATGAAACAGTGATGATGGGAAGCTGTTTGCATTTTTACCTTGGAAAGGAACTCTGAATGGATTTGCCATGGTGACATGAAAAAAGCTCAGGATGGATAATGGACTGTCAGAGGGGCGATCCCACGCCCATGATCCCTCTTGGTGAAATTAGCCTTCCTTTCTTGAGTCAGGATCTGGAGGGAGGAAGGGGGGGCAGGGTGGTGGGTGGGGAGGGGGACACAACCTGAACACTCTCCCAAAGCAAGGATGACTCTGGTCAGGCTCCGGAGGAGTTTCCGGCAGGTGTCTCCTCAGGTGGTGCTCTTTGTGCTGTTTGCTTTCTGCTTGCTCAGTGTTTTTGTCTCAGCCTACTATTTATATGGGTGGAAGCGAGGGCTAGAGCCCTCAGGGGACATCCCAAGCCCAGACTGTGATGAGCCGAAGGTTGCCCCTTCGCGCCTCCTCCCGTTAAAGCCCATCAAAGTGGTGGATTCCTCCCGCACAGACCCTTTGGTCCTTGTGTTTGTGGAAAGCTTGTACTCTCAGCTGGGTCAGGAGATCGTGGCTATCTTGGAATCCAGTCATTTCAAATACCTGACTGAGATTGCTCCAGGGAAAGGGGACATGCCCACACTGACTGACAAGGACCGAGGACGTTTTGCACTGATCATCTACGAGAACATCCTGAAGTATGTGAACCTGGATGCCTGGAACCGGGAGCTCTTGGACAAGTACTGTGTTGAGTATGGCGTAGGAATCATTGGCTTTTTTAAGGTAATGGTTTTGTGCTTGGGGGACAGCTGAATTAGCCCAATTTATGTGGGCAAGGTTTGTGCAACAAGAACTAGGAAAAAGTATTTTGAGAAAATTGTCATTCAGAACAATGAGTTTCCAAACTGTACTCTGCTCTTCATGGATGCAAGTGTGATCTGGGCCACTTGTATAGCAGAATGACTTGATAGAAGAGGATCTGCATCCTTCCAGTCTTTGTTAGAAACAGGGGGTTGGGTTAGATGGCTCTTACCACTCCATTCAACTCTAATAATCTATATAGTTTTTGAAATGAATGGAGGTTCTCTTATGTGTTAAGCGTAGAATGTGGAACACTTCCCCACTTGTTATCCCCTCTCTTTTGTGCTATGCTTTTTTTCCAGTGGGTAGAGGAATATTCAGAAGGCTTTACCCACCTGTAGTCAAACGTAATATCCCACTAGTTTTGTAATTTCATTCCTTATTTTGACATTTTAGAAAATCTAGCCTGTCTTTAAGAAAATGGGTGGAAGACATACAAGAAGGGTAGAAGTGACCAGATTCATTGTGCATGGAGATAGATGCTTTATGAAGGCTCTCGTGCTTGAAGGACTGGGAGCGCAGGAAGATTTGCAGCATGCAAAGTGCCAGCCTTTCTTGGACAACTCCTCCTAGCCACTGCTTGCTGTTGAGTGGCTTGATACCTTGCCAGCCAAGCCTGATAAGTAAAAGTGCTCTGCCTTTTAACTGGTGCCAGGAGCGGATTTACACATCTGTGTCTTTTGAGTCAAGGCTGTGCTGCCATCACTGAGTCGATGACAGTACCAAGATAACAATAGTGGTCCTTTTGGGGGCTGGTTAATGGATAAAGAGAACAGCTTGTATGAGGAATTTGGGAGGCTTCATAACAACTTTCTTGAACCATCATGACTTCACAGGGCTATCTTGCTTCAGACTGTTGCTTCCCTTAGTTGATTCCTCTGGGTTTCAATTTAAAGATGGCAGGCAGGAGGATGCATGGAAAAATATTTTTCTCTCCCATATAGCTCAAACAGAGGTAATTGATGTGGTGCTTTCCAAAGCTGTGCTGCATTTCTTGTTTTGAAATGATATGCTTGAAAGCTTAAGAACCCAGGGCAGAAAGAAGGTATGCTAAATGTGGCATTATTCCAAAACCTGAAGCCATCCTGCAGTTTTGAAAGACAACATTCAGATTTGCTTCTTTGGCTTGTGCCTATGAGGGTTTATTTTGGTTAATGGATGAGATAAAATTTTAAAGTGTCAATATAAAACTTCTGCCTTGCTTCCTTAGGTTTCAGCCTATTTATGCAATTAGATATTTGAGAGATTCAAAGGCAAGGTATCAGTAGTATGTATATGCTGTATAGGTGTAGGTGTGGATGCAATATGTTGTTGCTGATCACATGAAGTAGTTCGGCACATTGTTCATTACTTAAAGTCGTTTGTGGGTTTCAGGGTTCATAGATCTCCCCTGTTGGAAAGTCTGTAGACCACACAATATGCCTGTTGCAATAATTAAGAAGTCTCTGTTTATGATCCTTCTTTTCTGTGGCATAAATGGAGGAAGCCTAGATGTGTAAGTGTCACCATTAGGATCCAGGCTCCAGAGTTTGTGTTAAGGAGAGCTCCCTACAGAACAAACATGCCACCGAGGCTGCTAATCTGAACAATTTGGTGCAGTCGTTTCAGAAAGTGCCAGAGAACTGCAAAAAATTTCGCTTGACTGACTATCTGTACATGATAACTATATAAGACGCTCTCTTCCATTCCCTGCATTAAGTCCTTTAGGATTTCAATTTGATTTAAGCAAACATATTTTCACACCCACCATGAGCCCATGAGACACAGGGTGTTTTTGCAGCTGGATATACCACCTACCACTTCTTTCTAATTTAGCTTTTTTGGAAGTGGAGTTAGACTTAGGAGTGAGCGAGAAACATGAGGGAAAGAGGAGGAAGCCAAAAAGAGAAAACCATTAAGCAACTGCCTTAATATCTCATATGATGATTTAGATTGGGAATGAGTAATTTGTGCCCCCCACCCCCATACCCAAATTTTTGGCTGCAACCCTCAACATCCCTCATTGACTCAGCTACTGGGCCAGTGGGAAATGTCTGGAGGGCCAGAAGTCTCCCACTTCTCATTAGTAGTCAGCATCTTTTATTTTGCAACAATTACAGCATCAATGTCTTAAAGGCCAGCTGTACAAATTGAAAAATATCGATTGTAACAAGATTAGCCACGGCCAAAGCAAAAATCTACTAGACTGATATAGCATTCAAGTCCAAAGAACCCTTAAAAACGTGAAGTTTTCCAGGCAGAGGAAGAACAGCAAATATGCTTTCATATGCTTAGTGATGCTTTCAAACCTGGGTGTTTTACTTAAGATGGGGGATAGTTACCTATAAAGTTTTGAGTTGGCTTTTTCCTGTAGTCTGACAGTGGGCACCTCTCACCTTTTGGATTTCCCCCTCTACAGCTCCCTTCAGTTACAGTTTAGAAAGCTAATGATAAGGGATTAGGGGAGTTGTAGTGCAAAACCATCTGGAAAACCATCATACTCAGCCAGTTTTAATCACAAATTTTAAACTTGTGTCATATGTTTAATCTTTGTTCTGTGTATTTTAATATGTAATTTGTAAAAATATTTTTAATATGTGTACTTTCTAGAATGTTTTAGATGATTACCATAAATACTCAAGTATAAGCTGACCCGAATATAAGCCCACGCACCTAATTTTACTACAAAAAACTGGGAAAACTTATTGACTTGAGTATAAAGCCGAGGGTGGGAAATGTAGCAGCTACTGGTAAATTTCAAAATAAAAATAGATACCAATAAAATTACATTAATTGAGGCATCAGTAGATTAACTGTTTTTTAATATTTACCGTATTTCAAAGAAAAACCGTAAAATAGCCCTGTAAGTGGAAAACTAGGGTCAACAAAAACAATATGATTTCAACAATAACTTAATAATAATAATAATAATAATAATAATGAAAATTTCATTTGTGTCTCACCCTATCTCCCCAAGGGCTGGCTTCCAACATAGTAACAAGCAAATATTCAATGCCTATATAAACAAAGCAGAGCTAGATATAGATCTATAATTACATATACTAATTTCACATACACATTTTCCCTGAAATGTTTGCAAATCCTCTCTCTCTATATGTGCATTTCCCCTGCAATATTTGCAAGCCTAGGGGCCCCCGGTGGCGCAGTGGGTTAAAGCACTGAGTTGCTGAGCTTGTTGATCGAAAGGTCGCAGGTTCAATTCCGGGGAGCGGCGTGAACTTCCGCTTTCAGCCCTAGCTTCTGCCAACCTAGCAGTTCGAAAACATGCAAATGTGAGTAGATCAATAGGTACCGCTCCGGCGGGAAGGTAACGGCGCTCCATGCAGTTATGCCGGCCACATGACCTTGGAGGTGTCTACGGACAACGCTGGCTCTTCGGCTTAGAAATGGAGATGAGCACCACACCCCAGAGTCAGACATGACTGGACTTAATGTCAGGGGACTACCTTTACCTTTTTTATATATCTATGTTCATGTAGACATGTAGACATATTTGCATGTGCATTTCCCCCTTGTAATATTTGCAAGCGCTATATATCTATATTCATATATAGCATTTTTGACCAGGGACCACTCTCCAACATTAGTACCAAAAGGGTTATGAATCAGTTTTTGGTCAACTTTAGATTCAGTTTGGGGGTACTCAGAAAATTGTATTGGATAGACCACAACAGCTCTAGTTTCTGATACAGAACGTATGCTATGGTCAGCGACAGGGAACGAGTGGCAGGCAGTGCAAAAGGAGCATAAATAAAATAAATAAAATAAACAAAGAGGAAGAAGATTTGGGGACCGGATTTTTGTTCTCATGGCCCACTGGTGGTCAACGGCCCACAGGTTAAGAACCACTGCTCTATATGTAGATCATTATATCTATGTAGGATTTGCAAAGATTTGTGAACATGTGAGAGGAAAATTCATATGTAAATATATACATACACACACACATACATACACACACACACACACACAGATATACAGATATAAAGGTACCTCTATATATTTATCAATATCTATATATAGGATATGCAAACATGTGAGGGGAAAATTAAAACATAGCACAATGTATACATATAGATACTCTGGTTTTATTTATATCTCACTATTTTCCTGCTTCTTGGCAGAGGGTTGGACTGAATGGCCCATGAGGTCTCTTCCAACTCTATGATTCTATGATTCTATTTATCATATGGTTTAAGAGTGGTGTACATATAAAACAGCAAACAATTCAGGACTGAAACAATCAAATAGCTTAAATGGGATAAAACATATTAAACATGACACCAAGTTAAAGCAGCTTAAATGCCTGCCACAATTAAAGCCATGTATATTCAAAGTAAATTAAACCCCAAAGGCTCTGCTTTGGTCCTTGTTTCATGGCTTATTGTTCCAGAAACTTTGTCTACAAAGACTATTGGTCTTTGTAGACAAACTTTGTTCTCCTTTAATGTTTCATTGCTGATGTGTCCCTTGAGCGCCACGTTGTTCTAGTTGCTTAATCTCTTTGACTTTGCCCTTCTTTTGACTTCTCCTTGCTTTAATGGGTGCCTGATAAATCCCTGCCTAACCATTTTGTGTGATCTCCCAACAGGCCAATGAGAACAGCCTGCTGAGTGCTCAACTGAAGGGCTTCCCCCTCTTCCTCCACTCCAACCTTGCGCTTAAGGACTGCAGCATCAATCCCAAATCACCACTCCTGTACATCACGCGGCCCAGCGAGGTGGAGAAGGGGCTCCTTCCAGGGGAGGACTGGACAGTCTTTCAATCAAACCATTCCACCTATGAACCAGTTCTCCTGGCTAAAACTAAGTCTGCTGAGTCCATCCCACACATGAGCATCGATGCTGCACTCCATACCACTGTGGTACAGGACCTGGGCCTTCATGATGGCATCCAGAGAGTCCTTTTTGGCAACAACCTCAACTTTTGGCTTCACAAACTGGTTTTTGTGGACGCGGTCTCTTTCCTCACTGGCAAGAGGCTTTCCCTCCCACTGGACCGTTACATCTTAGTAGACATTGATGATATCTTTGTGGGCAAGGAGGGTACGCGAATGAAGGTGGACGATGTAAAGGTAATCAGACTTATATTACACTTTGAATCCATTGTATATCTGGGGCCTCATGATCTATGGATCCTTTCTTTGGACAGAAATACATGTGAGGAACTTTTGGTTGCTCAAATGTTTTGGGCATTTGACTCCCATTTACTGGTGGTTCTCCATTGTAAAATGCAATCCTTTGAGTTCTTTCTCTTGTGTCATGCTTGAGTATGGAATACTGGAAAAGTGACACTTAAAATGCTGGATTTATAATGAATGATAAGATCCCATCTTCATTCATTTTAAATCTAGACTCAAATACTAGTTTCTGCTCTGTTTAATAGTTTGGTGTTGACAACCGAATGCTTAGTTGCAGAGGCTTGAATAAAACTGACTATAAATAATTCCATCTACAAAATTGTTTAATCAAGGGTTTTGTGTAGTTAACACTAAAATGAAAAATAAAAGATAAAGATTTCTCCTTACATTAAGTCTAATGTTGTCCGACTCTGGGGGAGCGCTGTTCGTCTTCATTTCTAAGCCGAAGAGTTGGCATTGTCCGTAGATGCCTCCTAGGTCATGTGATCGGCATGACTGTATGGAGCGCTGTTACCTTCCCGCCGGAGTGGAACCTGTTGATCTACTCACATTTGCATCTTTTCGAACTGCTAGGTTGGCAGAAATTGGAACTAGCAGCGGGAGCTCACCCCTCTCCCTGGATTAGAACCACCAACCTTTTGGTCCGCAAGTTCAGCAGCTCAGTGCCTTAACCCGCTGTGCTACCAAATACCTTGGATTAAAACTGAATAGTTGTATGCATAGTTTATTGGCCAGTACATTTAGCATCTGAGGCAGAGACCTACATTGTCAAAAGCTCAGGGTTTTACATTTTTGAGAAGAGCAAGAAAAATAGGAGACAAGTAAACTCAATCAAAATTCTTGTTGCTTTTGTCAGAGAAGGGACAATTAGTTCTTGTTCAAAGTTTGGAAAGAAATACTTCCAGAATTTTGCAGCCATGTTGGTTTGTAAACATGCTAGATTGAAAAAGTGGCAGTAAAAAAAAAAAATAGAAATAGTGATTTCAATGTTCCAGATAGCTAGATCAGTTTAATAAATGTGTAATGATCAAAAATTTGACAGCTGCTCTTCAAGGAAGGCCCCAGGAGAATTGTTGTGCAGGTTTTCAATGATGAAAATCTGAAAGTATGCTCTCGATGCATTTAATTATTCTATGGCAGATAAAGGCTAACTCAGCCATTATGTCTTTATGCTGATATGACCCATCTGAGCTGCTTTCAAAGAACATGCTTGAAATAGAGGAGTCCCAAGATGGCGAGTTATTAGCCAACAGTGACCTCTAGTCTGGGAAGCTGCAAAATGTATCTTAGAATATTATGCATGCCGCAGTTGCTCAGTAAAAGAATTTTGCCAGTTTGCATACTAGCCACACAACTCCACACATAAGTGCAAATGAGCAAAAAAAAAATCTCCTTGGTTTTGTGCTGGTACAGGCCCTAATAATGGTACACTGGGTGAGATGTGCTCATGCAACATTTCGTCTCAATTCCCATTTGGAAAACTGGAAATTGCACTGATTGGAAGAAGCTGCAGCCTTTGTGGCTGTTCTGTGCCCAGGGCTCCTTGAATATCCCTTGGTGGCCTGAGATAGATTTCTGCTGTTGCAGCTCATGTGCCACCACTCTCAATTTAGTGAAGTGCCTGGTGTATTTGGATGTGTCTATGCCTATGCAACCATCTGCACCTTGTTTTACTTTTGTTGTCGAATGCTTATTTAATTCAGGAGGTGATGGGTAGATTTTTATTAATCTGCCATGCCAAATGTAGAATTTCAGATCAGTTTCTCTTATGGACCATATCATATTAACATACAATCAGCAGAACAATTATCAGATTGGACAGTATTGCCATAAACTCTAGTCAAAGCTAGTTCTAAAAATAGGCCCATTCAGTCTAGTCCAGTGGTTCTCAACCTGTGGGTCCCCAGTGGCGTCAACAGTGCCTAAGGAGCCTCCAAGGAAGAGAAGGAGGAGGGGGAACCTCGGCGTGGCCCTCTCCAGGGAAGGAGGAGGGAGCAGTGGAGGCAGCGAGGAGGAGGAGGTCGCCACCAAAAAGGGCCTCATTGAGGCTCCCCCCTCCTCTTCATCCTCCTCTTCCTCGGAGGCCCCTTGGGCACCGTTGACGCTAGTGCCAGGCTGGGCTGAGTCCTCAGCCCTGAGTGTGGAAGATCAGGCCTCAGCCCAGCCTGGCAGTGACATCAACGGCGCCCAAGGGGCCTCCGAGGAAGTGGATGAGGAGGAGTGGGGAGCCTCGGCACAGCCCTCTCCGAGGAAGGAGTGGGGAGCAGCGGAGGCAGTGAGGAGGAGGGGGCTGGCGCTGAAGAGGGCAAGCCCCAGGGTAAGGGGCCTGGCTCCTCCTCCTCTTCCTCATCCGTACTTCACGGAATTTCACTTATCGCAGGTGGTCCTGGATCGTAACACCCGCAATAAATGAGGGTACACTGTACTGCCCTTCTCAACCCTGAAGGGGACTCAGGGCGGTTCACAACTTTTGCAACAATTCAATGCCATTGATAAAAAAACAGTATAAAACATCAAAATTGACCCTTCCCTGATAAAACATTAAAAATTATTAAACACATCACATGAAATAACATCACATATCACACAAAGACATAGCCGTTGTCCGTAAAAAGTCCTGCACTTTCAATTTTCGCTTTCACTTTAAATATTCCTATAATGGGTCGGACATTTGGTTCCACAGCTGGGTCTTTAGCTGTCTTCTAAAGGTCAAGAGGGAGGGGCTGACCTGATCTTACTTGGGAGGGAGTTCCATAGCTGTGGGGCCACCACCAAGAAGGCCCTGTCCCTCATCCCCATCAGCCACACCTGTGAGGCCGGTGGGGCTCAGAGCAGGACCTTTCTGGAAGATCTTAATCTACGAACTGATTCATAGAGTGTTTTTCTCCCCTGTCTCTTCTGGGGCAAAACCCATTATGGGGTTCAGGAACTATTTTTAATTTTTATAGAATTGTCCATGTAAAACTTGCAGTGTACATGTGTTTTGATTTTCAATATTTCTTTCCCCTCTCTCAACTTGGCAGGCTCTGTTTGATACCCAGAATGAACTGCGCACCCATATCCCAAATTTCACCTTCAATCTGGGTTACTCAGGGAAATTCTTCCACACAGGTGAGAAAAAGAGTGGTGGAGTATGCGTGGTGTGTGGGCTCTGAATTTTTTCATTTTCTGTCATTGCCACATCAGAGGATTTAACTTAAGTGTCCAGATGTTATATAATGTTTATCTGCAGTGATAATGGCTACGAGGCCGAGACACAGGGTAGAGGAAGCAGCCGTTCTTCCTGAACTCATGACCAGTCCCTCTTTCTTGGAGGACAGAGTTGCATGTGCCACACCACTTATCCTGCACCCTGTAAATAAGACTGTTGTTGTCGTTAAGGGTACTGGCAGTGTTACTCCCATGTTGAAGGCATTCTTGGAGTATTCATTCTGCCCAGTCCCTCTCATAGTCCATTAATAGGTCCTGAAAATGTAGTCCCAGGCCCCACTATGGTCACTGCTGGATCGACTTTTTTTGCTTCTCCTCTATCTCCCTAGCCCTATATTGTTCTGCGCTATCCTTGGCTCAGCCCCCTTAGACTGTTTAGGTCAACTTGACTACCCCCGGCCCTTAGCAACTCATTCCAAATTATAGAATAGTATTTGAACTTGGCTTTAATTGTATTTCTTTTGTGTTAATAATTTTGTGTTTTTTGTTTTGAATATTCTGTATATTTCTTTTGTCTCATTGCATGTGCGGAAACTGCCCTGAGTCCCCTAGGGGAGATAGAGTGGTATATAAATAAAGTTTTGTTTTATTATAAGGCAGCAGTCAACTTACCAGTCTAGTGACCTCCTGTAGAGAGAGTGGAAGGATGGGATTGCTATTTTCTCCATTGACTCAGGCAGCAAAATCTTCTGGACCAGCACTTTCTGGCAGTATTCTCAATAAGATTTACAAAGGATCCTCCTCTCTCTCTCTCTCTCTCTCTCTCTCACACACACACACACACACACACACACACACCCCTCTTCAATTCATTTTACCATTGGAAAGCAAGGCATTTCATCAATCACAGGAAATTAATTATGGGGAAATCCTTTGAGAAGTTTGAGTTTTTCATTTATGTCCTCAGTCTTTCATTTATGTCCTCAGTGATGATGATGATTATGATGATGGTGATGGTGATTGCTTGGGCCTGGCAGGTACCGATGCAGAGGATGAGGGAGACGACCTGCTGCTGTCCTATGTGAAGGAGTTCTGGTGGTTCCCCCACATGTGGAGTCACATGCAGCCTCACCTTTTCCACAACCAGTCTGTGCTGGCGGACCAAATGACCATGAACAAAAAGTTTGCTGTTGTGAGTATGATGCCAGTTGGAGGCAGAGCACGATTGTAGGGCAAAAAAGAAATGTGGGCAATTTTGAAGTATTTTAAAATTTCAAAATTCCAGATAAGGGGTGCTCGTTCGATACAGTCAATCATCATAGCAAGAAGCAGTATCCATAAAATCTTGTGTATTTTAAGCCCCACAACAACAGATCATGCAACTGTTGAAAACCTTACATCTAAATATTAAATTTTAATTGTTGAAGCATATGAATGTGTGTAAACTGGCCCTAATATTCTGATCTCCTAGAGATACTGTAAAACTGGCTTCTTATCTTGTCCTGATGCCAAACTGAACTACTGTCCCTTTTCTAACCATGATAACAAATGAAGCTTGCAGAAGCAATAATACATGAGTTGTTTCTGTCATCTCCACCCTTTCTGTCACCCTTGATGTCTATTCTTGCTTTTTGTACTCAGTTCTTAATCTATAGTTCATACATTACTTAGCTTTTCTTTAAAAGAGATAATTGTTTTTGTGACCTTTGTCAGCAGAATGTAATCTTTGATCCTAGTAAATAGTCCTCTATTATTAAAGCCCACAAAAGTCTCTGTTGTAAACTCTAAACCCTACCTAGAGCTTTTGTTACGTATTGAACACAAAACTTAGTTTCTCCCAGTTCTCTTAGTTTCTTCCCAGTGAGTTCTCAGAATCTCAGGTAGTAGTTGATGCTCTGGATTCGCTCAAACAGATCTTTTCTTAAATAATATTTAATGCATTGCGCTGCTGGTGCGCTCTCCTCTACTTTTCATTAACAGCAAAATTTTTGATATTGTGTTCCTTCTCTCCAATTTGTTTTCTGCAGGTGTGCAAAGTTTTTTTTAATATTTATTTTAAGCAGCTCCACTGGCTGCCGACAAGTTTTCAGGCCCAATTCAAAGTGCCCTATACACTTCGGGTCCAACCTATCTTCCAGACTGCATCTCCTATGAACTGGCACAAGCTCTGAGGTCTGCTGGGAAGGCCCTCCTCTTGGTCTCACTACCATCCCAAGTATGGTTGGTGGGGACAAGAGAAAGGGCCTTCTCAGTGGTGACACACCGGCTCTGGAATGACCTTCCTGGAGAGATTAGGTTAGCTCCCACTCTTTGATCTAGTCTAAAAACATGGCTTTTTAGATAGGCCTTTGACCTTGAGTAGATTTTAATGGTTAGATGTGAGGACTTAGTGGTTGCTTCACTGTGGCACTTGGATTGCTAATTTAAGACTGCCAGTTTTATCTGCAGGCATTGCTGTGTTTTACAAATTTTAAAAAATTATGCATGTTTGCTGTTGTAAATGTATGTTGTTATAGTCTATATTTTCTGTATTCTTTATTTTATGTTTGGCACTGGTAGTGCTTCTATGAGCTGCCTCAAGTCCCTTCGGGGAGATGGTGGCGAGGTATTATTATTATTATTATTATTATTATTATTATTATTATTATTATTATTATTTAGAGAGCTCTTAATTTAACACCTAGTTTTATTCTAAGCCTGTTTTTTTCAGTTTGTAGAATGTGCATCGTAAGGAAAGGGGATATTTTTTAAAAAACAAAAATATGCAGCCCTTTAATTTCTATGGCTTTGTCAGTTAGCTCCCAGAGCTTTATAGCACAGTTCTATCTGACCTTTTTGCAAAATGGGTGCTGCCAAGCAACTAGTCTTTAATGGTTCCTTCAGTGGGATGCACACTTCACTTCTCTTTGTACTCTTTCAATATGGCAAAGTCAGCTCCAACAGACCTACTCAAGGAAGTAGAAAACTAAAAGATTAAATCATCAATCTTTTTTTAGTAGAGTAGTTTTGTAAAAGATGCCAAAAATGAGACAAAACACAGAATTTAGGAGCTGCTTCTGCACTATTAGAAGAAAAAAGTGGGAGGCGAAAAAAGAACCATAAAATCTTACAAGATATTTTCTCCTTTTTAAAACTGCTGGATTACTGTTGGGTAGAGGCTCGTATTCCATATTGTTTTGGAACCTGTGGGTTTCTGGAATGTGTTACTAGAGTCATCCCTGTGTCCCCCTGGGGAAGGCTGCTCACACATAACACAGAATGCCTTTTGGCTATAAAGTAGAGTAAAAATGTAATACTGTCATGTTGATCATGTTGTTGCTCATTTAATCCTCTTGCATCTACAGGAAAACAACTGAGGCCAGCGCCAGGCTTGAGCTATTGATCATGTAAAAACCTTCCAGCCTATTATGCTGACTAAATTTTTTAGAAAGATATAAATAAATTGAATAGAAGGAGCTGTGTGATAAAGGGGGAAAGTAGCAGAGGTCTTTGTTGCTAGCTGCCTGGGCCACTCACTGTCCTCTTTTTTAGCCTCACACAGAGCGGAATAACTCACCCAATTTCCCCAAAACTGTTTCTTCTACTTGCTTATGCTAATTCTGGTGGTGGCTGCTTTCTACTAGTAAGATACAAAACAGCCTCCACCCCCACCTTGAAGGGGCCAGCTGTTCACTTGCAATGGATTCTTTTGTTAAAGCTCCATGGATTATTGTGGCAGACAGTGTTATGAATTCTTGTCTCTCCTCCTAGGAGCATGGCATCCCCACTGACATGGGATATGCAGTGGCACCCCATCATTCAGGCGTGTATCCGGTCCACGTTCAGCTCTACGAAGCCTGGAAGCAGGTCTGGGGCATCAGAGTCACAAGCACCGAAGAATATCCCCACCTCAAACCAGCTCGCTACCGGCGGGGTTTTATCCACAATGGAATCATGGTAATCAAGAAAGCACATTGATGTGCTAATGGCTCATTTAAGTCCCTTTTTGTACACCAACCCAAACGAAAAGAGGGAGAAAAATCCCAGTATTATTCTATGACATTCTCTAAGATAACTCTTAGGATAGGGCTGGAAGCACGAGACATGAGATTCGGTTTAAAACCAGTCTTTTCTTTCTCATTGCCCAACAGGGATTGCTTTGTGTGAACCTAGAACTACATAATGTCCTTAACTTCATGGTTAGAAAACAGGATTTGTTTATGAACTCACAGCACAGTTCAAAGGAGGTTACAAGGAAGGGGTGAGAGAATCTCATTGGAAGTAAAAATAAAAATGCAAATGGGAAGTACATAAAAGCTGATGAAAGAGGCTCCTAGTTTTTTTTTTTACACTTCCATATAGTTCATTAAGAGATAGGTTTCTTAAATTTCTAGGAAATACATTTCACATTTTGTAGAAGATGGGACTGTTTACTGAGAGATCCTGCCTCCCAACGTTGCGCCCAAAACTGGGTGAAACACTGCTGTCTACTAACTAGACTTCAGTTGTCCTGTGAGTTCACATACACAAGGAACAGGGGTTTTAGGTCATGCAAGGCTGCAAAGGTTAAAATCAGTATCTTCAATTAGGTTTCAAAATGAATTGGCAGCTAATGAAATGGTTGAGGAATTTGTTGACTATCATCTCTGACTCCCAACACTCAAAGTATGCAGCATGTTCCTTGTGGTCTCTAAAAGATTTTTTTTATTATGTTGGAAGCGACTTTAGAATATGCTGCAAGTTGCTTCTGGTGTGAGAAAACTGGCTGGCTGCAAGGACATTGCCAAGGGGATGCCCAGATGAGTTACCATCCTGTGGGAGGCTTCTTTCATGTCCCTGCATGGGAAGCTGGAGCTGTCAGATGGGAGCTCTATTCTATTTCATCTTTGTTCTCTTTCATCTTTGAGGACAGCTCCATAATTAAGATTAGATGTCGCTAAGGAAAGGATATCTTCAGGGCTATCTCAGAAGCGAAATAGCCCTTCTTTTTAGCTGCAGTTGGGAAAACACACAACCAGCATTGTTTTCCAAGGACAGCTGGATCTGGGAATATTTCCTGATCAGAAAGGGCCAGGGAGGCTCATCCCTCCCAATCATCCCTATGATTGACCTGCATCTTGTCTTGATTCATTTTCAGTCCATTTCCTATTTTTGATACATATAATTCCAATCACTGAGCTGCATGATTACTACCCCTATTCAAATGTCTTCTGCAGTTTACTTATTTTTTTCATGTCAGGAGTGACTTGGGAAACTACAAGTCGCTTCTGGTGTGAGGAAATTGGCTGTTTGTAAGGATTCTGCCCAGGGGACACCTGGATGTTTTACCATCCTGTGGGAGGCTTCTGTCATGTCCCCGCATGGGAAGCTGGAGCTGTCAGACAGGAACTCACCCTGCTCCCTGGATTCAAACTGGCAACCTTTTTGTCAGCAGTCTTGCTGATACAATTGTGCCACCGGGGGGGGGGGGGGTCCTGCAGTTTACTGAAAACCAATAAGAAAAACAATCCCCAAGTATGTATCTTTTGCAGTCTTAGATCAGTTGTCTCTTTAATAGGTTTCCACACTTTAATAAGAATTCCAGGGGTTTTTCTTCTTTTTAATTCCAAGTATTTTTAATTCCTGGTGGTAAATAGATCAATTGGGGCCCCCGGTGGTGCAGTGAGTTAAACCACTGATCTGCTAAACTTGCTAACTGAAAGGTCGCAGGTTCAAATCCAGGAAGCAACGTGAGCTTCCGCTGTCAGCCCCAGCTTCTGTCAACCTATCAGTTTGAAAACATGCTAATGTGAGTAGATCCCGCTCTGGCAGGAAGGTAATGGCTATCCATGCAGTCATGCCAGCCACATGAGCTTGGGGGTGTCTATGGACAACACTGGCTGTTCAGCTTAGAAATGGAGATGAGCAGCAACCCCCAGAGTTGGACACGACTGGACTTAATATCAGGGGAAAACCTTTACCTTACCTTTTACCCTAAATAGATTAATAAACATTGCGAGGACACTAACACATGTAAACTAAATTGGAGCTCTGTGTTGACACCTTCCTTTAGGGACAGTTCTTTGCCTTGAGAGGAAAAGTGCTAGGGATTGTTGACACACAATGAGCCCAGCTCCCAAGTTGGGGTAAACTCTGCCAGTGGCTTCTTGCGGATGGTGAGCAGCATCAAAGGTTCAGCACAAATTTCAAAGGGCTCTTTGTCCTGGATTATCGTCTGAAAGATCTATATTCTGTAATAAATTATGTCATATCAGAACTATGTTGGCTGACATTTCAAGCTGGTATAAGCTTCACCTAGTGCAAACAAATGTGTTATGCTAAGGAGGCAGGATGGCACTCTTATCCAGAAAAAAGAGATAACATGGAAGAGAAAAAGCCTGCTTTGTTCCATTTCATCCAAGCATTGATTCAGAAATATGGGAGCACTCAGTACACAGAAAATTTGGAAGATTTAAAAAATATCTTTGAACACATGAAACTTAATTAGGTAATGCTGCATAAGCTACTTTAAAGCAAGTTTGATTTTCAAGCCCTTTTGATTATGCCTTGACTTCTGAGCAAAAGGGGGGAAAGATGGAAGGAAAGATATCTTCAGAGAGGAATGCCTTTGGAAAAATATAATTAAAAATAATGGCTAGTATGGCACTGAGGAGGAATTTTTACAGATTGCGGTTTCAGTGGTATCTTACCTCATTGTGATCAAAACAGATAAACAACTTGTGCTCAGTAACTAAGAGCAGAAAGACTTTTTTCATAGCTCAGCAATGTCCAGCTGTTATCAATTAGTGCAAGAAGATTTCATGTTAAAAATGATTAAATGTTATTCCATATAATTTGAAGAATATGGCTGGGAGGTATTAAAAAAGGTTTTAGGAGAAGGTTTGAGCTAGTTACAGTCTTGTTAGTTTTAGCCAGAATGTTTATAGCCACAGCTTGGAATTTGGCCGGACTTTTCATCGTTATTAGATTCATATAAACAACAGACAAATGCTTGGCTTATTAAATGGTCTCATTATAGAAAATGCAAGAAAGGAAGATAGTTCAATATGGAACACTGGATGCCGTTGATAAACTAGGATACCACATAGCCCTTCTTTTTTGCACTATGTACTAAACTTCCTTAAAGTTTGGCGTATTTCCTTTGTAAGAGTACCAACAAAATAAAAAGCAAAGCTGCACAATGGAATAAGTTGAAAACTACATGGATGAGACTCCCTGTTTAACTCTCAAGAAACAAATAGTCTTCCAAATACCCCCCACCAGGACCTAGGAGACAAAAGAAACAAAATCCCCCAGAGTGCCCCCTCCAAGATGTCCACCAGATGCTTAGGAAAGGTCATGTACTGTATCAGACGGGAATTGATGTTTTTTTCAGATAGCTTAACCAGGTCAATAGGGAGGGGACAGATGCTGTATATTCTTCCTCTGTCTTTCTGCACTTGTGGAGAGCAGTGAAGTGAGAGCAAGGAGATACTTTTTTCTCTAGGGAAGAAAAGAAATGGAACATAATTGCTTTCTTCCTCTCCTCCTACACTCAGTAGTCATGGCTGGAAGCCAAGCATCCTTAAGAAACCTGGTTGATTGTGGATGAGCAGTGTGCTACACTCACACTTGTTTGCAGAAGAAGCAGCAGCTAACAAGAATAGAGGGGAAGTCATGCTACCCCTCTATTCTGCCTTGGTCAAACCACACCTGGAATACTGTGTCCAATTCTGGGCACCACAACTGAAGGGAGAGGTTGACAAGCTGAAATGAGTTCAGAGGAGGGAGACTAAAATGATCAAGGGTCTGGAGAATAAGCCCTATGAGGAGCGGCTTAAAGAGCTGAGCATGTTTAGCCTGCAGAAGAGAAGGCTGAGAGGAGACATGATGAGGACCATGGATAAATATGTGAGGGGAAGTCATAGGGAGGAGGGAGCAGATTTGTTTTCTGCTGCCCTGGAGACTAGGACATGGAACTATGGCGTCAAACTACAGGAAAGGAGATTCCACCTGAACATGTGGAAGAACTTCCTACCTGTGAGAGCTGTTCAGCAGTGGAACTCTGCCCCGGACTGTGATGGAGCCTCCTTCTTTGGAGGCTTTTAATCAGGCTGGATGGCCATCTGTTGGGGGTGCTTTGAATGCGAGTTTCCTGCTTCTTGGTAGAGAGTGGGACTGGATGGACCATGAGTTCTTGTCCAACCCAAGCATTCTATGATTCTATGAAATCACAAGACTTTGCTCTTGCAACAAAATGAAAACAGGGTCCATGGGTAGCTTTCAATTTGGTTGTAGACTCCATTTCTGGTTTGTCGGGAAAGAAACAAACAGACCAGAATGATAGCTGCACCTGTGTTCCCCTAAGACAGTAAAACAAGCCATGGAATGAAACTGGATTTTATTTAACTGTTTTCACTGCAACAGGAAAGTCAGTATAGCATATTCAACATGCATCCAGCTTCCTGTGGTTTCTTAGCTCGTGTCATGCAAATTGGACCATGTGGTTATTTGAATTGTCTGTGTGAGGTTGCAAAAACAGTCTTAACATACATTAGGTAGGGAAAGCGTTGCCTTCAAATGTTTTTTTACTGGTGGTTGTTAATAATTTGTACTTTAATGTGTTTAATTTATAAGGTATTTTATTGGAACTTGGTTCATTATATTGCAAGCAACCTTGCACCCTAACCCCAAAAGAAATCAAACATAAACAAGCTATGAAAGTTATTGACTTTTCTTAGGCCAGCCAGCTGCCTTCTCCCACTTGGTGCCCTTCATATGTGTTGGATTCCAGTTCCCATTATCCCCATTCTGAATAGCCATGTGTAGTCCAACACAACTGGAAATCACAAATAAAGTATGATTATGAACCCGTTTTCCAGTCTTGGCTGCCACAACATCTAGTGTGATTAAGGGAAAGTTTTCCTTGGTGCATTTGCATAACCTAGTTATTTCAGTTTCATGTCCCATTAATTATTATGGCTCTATCCCAAGGATGCCTGGGATTTGCAGTTTGATGAGGTACTTAGAATTATTTTCTGAAGAGTGCCATGTAGTTAAACCCTCTGAGCTACATATCCCAGAATTCCTCATGATGGAGCTGTGACAGTTGAAGTGGTTTTAAATTGATATAACAGTATGGTGCAGATAAATCTCTTGCGTGTGAGGTTGCTAAGTAGCTTCCTACAGATCTAGGGGTGGAAGATTAATAATCCTTATCATCACTGATATAGCACTGCTGCTCCAGAAGTAGAGCAAACATGGGAATGTGAAAACTGTGAGTATACTGCAAAAGTTCATGGAAACTTTGTCTAAATAGAGAACATCATGACAAACAGGAAGCTGTCTTCCTGGTTCTGTTTCTCTGATTAGGTGGCTGATGGAATATATGAAAATGTTATCTTAACAGACCATTAGGCAGCACAGTGTTTAATTTAAAGCATGATGAAATACATGACTTGCAATAAAATAAATTCAAAATATATTGACATAAAATTTTTAAAAACCACAAAAAAGCTTGTTTGCAGTAGCAGTGGAAAATAAAACTCATAGGTATTAATATTTGACCATCTGCGAGAATTCATTTTTCTTTTTGTGGCCTGTTTTCTAAAATCTTACTAAATGACATAATGTGAACCTGATGCCTCTAGAGAGGAATGGGGTGTGATTCTCTGGTTTGTGTACTTGTCCCAGGAAAGTGTAATAATGTTGGTGTAAATATTGGTGTAATATATGGCGTAATATGCTCGATGTTTTATCTGATGTTTTATGTATAGATTTTTATAACTCATATATTATTATTTTAGTTAGTGATGTATTGCTTTTGTATGTATATTGGCAGCATTGAATTTTGCCATGTTGTACACTGCTCTGAGTCCCCCTCGGGGTGAGAGAGAGTGGTATAGAAATGCAGCAAATAAATAAATAAATAAATAAATAAATATTTGCTGTAATAGTACTGTGTGAGACAACCATAGAAAAACTGTAGTGCAAAGGAAGATAATACTATGAAGACTTTCATGATTCCCTAAGACAGTGGTTCTCAACCTTGCTAATCCCGTGACCCCTTAATACAGTTCCTCATGTTGTGATGACCCCCAACCATAAAATTATTTTCATTGATACTTCATAACGGTAATTTTGCTACTGTTATGAATCGTAATGTAAATATCTGATGTGCAGGATATATTTTCATTCACTGGACCAAGTTTGGCACAAATACCCAATACGCCCACATTTGAATACTGGTGTGGTGGGGCGGGTATTGGAAGTTTTAGTTGCTGTCATTTATAGTTAACCTACAGTCAAAGAGCATTCTGAACTCCACCAACGATAGAATTGAACCAAACTTGACACACAGAACTCCTATGACCAACAGAAAATACTGGAAGAATTTAGTGAGCATTGACCTTGAGTTTTGGAGTTGTAGTTCACCTACATCCCGAGAGCCCTATGGACTCAGACATGATGGATCTGGACCAAATTTGGAACAAATGCTCAATATGCACAAATGCAGGCCCGTAGCCAGGATTTCGATTCAGGGGGGGGGGCTGAGTGGGTTTCGGGGGGGGGCTGAGTTTCGGGGGGGGGGCTGAGTCTGAGTGAAAGAGGGTCTACCCTAGCAAACCTTTTGTATCATTACCCCAATACCCCCATGCATATGGGATATATTGAGTATGGTGATCAGATCATGATATGAATAACATAACAGTTTAAATAATGCACCAGTAAGGCCTTTTCGCGAACCACCATGAGAATTTGGGGGGGGGGGGCTGAAGCCCCTCAAGCCCCCCCCCCCCCCCGGGCTACATGCCTGCCCAAATGTGAACACTGGTGGAGTTTGGATAAAATAGACCTTGACATTTGGGAGTTGTCATTGATGGGATTTATAGTTCACCTACAATCAAAGAGCATTCTGAACCCCACCAACTATAGAATTGGGCCAAACTTCCCACAGAGAACCCCCATGACCAACAGAAAACACTCTGTTTTCTGACACTCCCTCAAGACCGCCCCCTATGGGGTTCCAACCCCCAGGGTGAGAAATGCTGCCCTAAGAGAAGAAGAAGACTGTGACCCAGCTTCCCAAAATTTGTAACAACCATTCCAATCTTTTAAACTCCATTTTTGAAACTTGCTATATGATTGCTATATGATTTCTTTCTCTTTCTTCTCAGGTCCTCCCACGACAAACATGTGGCTTGTTCACTCATACCATCTTCTACAATGAGTATCCCGGTGGCTCCAGTGAACTGGATAAGATCATTAATGGAGGCGAACTGTTTCTGACTGTGCTACTTAATCCTGTGAGTGTTACCTCAAGAAGAGATAGAAGAGGCCTGGCAGTATATAGAAGACAAGGCTGGGCACAGCAGGACCTGCAGGTTGCATGTGGTCCGAACCTGTCAATCCATGCCAAACTTTCATAGTAAAACATTTTCATGATATTTGTGTTGGAGAAGATATCCACACATACCTTATATGGGTCATAGAAAAAGCATTTTCAGTCTGTTTTGAGGGACCCTTGACATATTTTAGGCCACTAGGAGATTTCCCCCCCCCCCCCTCCAAATCCCAGCATTATGTCCTGGTTTGGGGGAAAAAAGACTTTGGCTACGCCTAAGTAAGGTTGTCCCTTACAAATCCCAAAAAACACAGAGGGTGATTTTTTCAATCTTAAAATCTTAGAAATTACATTTGCCCAAAATTACATTTGCCCAAAAAAGGGGCATGGGTAGAGAGAGGTGTGTCCCTCTCAAGTCCAGTGAAGTCTGTATACAGTCAATTGACCTGATATAATTGTCCATCTTCATATATATATGTCCATCTTTTTATGTGGAATATTGGAATTGTTCAAAATACAAAATAAAATGTATAATAATACAGTAAGATCATTAAGATGAAATTCACTGATTTACAATCTTTAGCATGCAAGGAGTGAGTTTGAAGGACAGTTTATGTTGAAACAGAGTAATGATTAGCTTACCAACTACTGAAACAGTTTGGACTTTAAAATTATATAACCAAATCACAGACAAGGGGAAAACATGTCTGTACTTCACCTGAAAGAAATCAGAAGCTACAAGAGCTTCTTGCAGAGGTGTTAAACAGCAATGATGAATCATAACATCTTCTTCAAATGGGAATTACTTGCTATGCTTGCTGAGAAGCTATGGACAAAATCCTGGTCTCTTAAATATTATCAGCTTGCTTTTATTTAAGATGGTTGCTTGGGAGATATCTAATTAAATGTTATATGTGACATCACTACTGCGTATGTCTGCCTAAGGAGGTCTTTATACAAGCATCCAAGGTCATTGAATTCAAAATGATGGAGCACACTCGCTTTAGAAATGAACTTCTGCGTGAATGAACTTTGCCTCTTTGGATTCTAAGAGGGCCATGTGATTGACATCATAAAGTAGTCAGGCACTTTGTTTCAGTGGGTATCTTTTTCCTACAACCCATTCAGAGAGTACAGATGCTTTGATTTCCTCTCCAGATTTCTAGGATTTCTTTCTTCCTCATTGGCTCTTGCTTCCTTTAGAGTTGTTCAGTTTTATGTTCCTCCTTCCCTATATTGTCCTGAGCAAGGAGGTAGGTCTCTGCAGCAGACTAGGTCATGTCACCCTTTTTTTGGAGGGCATTGGTGGATGTGTTTGCCTGTGCTGATGGCATTGTTTGTTACTGATATATCTCTATGCCAGTCAGTCTTTTACCATTTCTCACACAGAGAACAAAGAATGACATTTATAATATACAAAAATTCTGTACTGTCTTTGAGTTGTTCCCTCTAATGAGAGTAGACCTATTCAGGGATTTTTTTATTATTTATTTTGTCGTTTATATGTAATTTAAACTCCACTTTTTTAGAATTGGCATCATGCTGACATGCCAGTCAGCAATGGCCGTAATAGGTTGAGTCTAATTAAGTCTATCGTTTGGATTTAGGCCATAATGATTGATAACAGCTGGCAATACTAGGTCTTTAGCACTTGAGCAACGTCAGCACATATCTAAGGGAGGGCTATTTGTCATCATAGAGTCATTGCCAAATGATGGGTTCTAAGGTCTGGTGTAATCGGGAGGATTTCTGAAGATGATTATAAGGTTGGGCAGGCACAGGGAAGAATAGATCATTTTACATCTGGTATCAAAGCCATCTGGTGGCACAGCAGCTTAAACCGTTGAGCTGTTGAACTTGCTGACCAAAAGATTGGTGGTTCAAATGCCAGGGAGTGAGGTGAGCTCCCACTGTTAGACCCAGTTTCTGCCAACCTAGCAGTTTGAAAACATGCAAATGTGAGTAGATCAATAGGTTCCTTTTGCGGGAAGGTAACGGCTCTCCGTGCAGTCATACTAGCTACATGACCTTGGAGGCATCTACACACAATGCCAGCTCTTCAGCTTAGAAATGGAGATGAGCACCACCCCCCAGAGTCAAGCACGACTAGACTTAATGTCAGGGGAAACTTTTACCTTTTATCAAAGAAAACTGTCAGTCGATGCATATCACTTTGTGTTAGATGTTCATGTCAAGCATGCCAGTGAAGAGCCTGGCTACCACATATATGATTTCCTAATAACTTTTTTTCTATAAGAGTGACCAGTGATGCAGCAACTTAACTTTTTTTGGGGAAAAAGTAGAATTTGTACTAAAATTTACTCATCTGGTATTGCTCAGCTAGTCTACTAATTGGTAGATTTGCTTCTAGTATGATGCAGTATGGTAGTACAAAATAGATTTGGTAATGGATTAAGGTATAAAAGTTTATTGAGTTGTATGTATGTAGTAAGGAAGTGTGGAATTTTAAGAATCTTGTTAGTTCAAGGGGGAAAAGGGCATACAAATGTTAGATAAGCATTTTCCTTCCTGAAACCAATGGAAATTAGAAAATGGGGAGAGATTGTGTCTTGAAACAGTTTTGTTGTCTTTGAATTCAGAATTCATGAAGTTAGATATTTTACTCAACTTCTCAATTATAGTGTGTGTGTGTTGTCATAAGATGTGATGACAGGCTTTATGTATATGGAAAATTGTATTTTGCTGTATTATGCTGCTGTTTAAAAAAGATAGGATATGGTTCTGGAAAGCACATTTTTTAAAAAAACAAGTGGTGTTCATGACACATGATTGCTAAAAATAAAACTTCTATACTAAGAGATATTTTGCCCATGATTATCAGCCCCTGGTTACAAACGGGATGGCCATTCCCTGTCAAGGCCATATTTGTAAATTTCCTCTGTGTGTTTGGCTAATGACAGAAAAAGAGTAGTGGACCTTGATCCAGTGAGCTTTTTAAAGGTTTGTCAGCCCTTCTGTCTTATCCATCTTGATCTGTGTGCAAAGAGATCTAGTGTGATAATTCACAATAGTGCAAATAGAGACAGAGTATAGACAACCCTATAGAAGGCGTTAAATTACCTTTTTGAATATTCATCTTTATTGGGTATGTTGGCTTGGGCTGATGGAAGTTGCAGTCCAACATCTGGAAGGGCAGTCCAGGTCTAGAGCATGTGACTCAGTGTGTTACTATTTGAACTCAAGGCTTTCTTGAATTGCTAAGCTGGGTCGATTATCCATACTGATCACTGTTCCTTCTGTCCCCCTCTCTCAATCTCTCCCTGACTTCACCCAATTTCCAGATCAGTATCTTCATGACTCACCTCTCCAATTATGGGAATGACCGTCTCGGTTTGTACACCTTTAGACACTTGGTCCGGTTCCTCAACTCCTGGACGAACTTGAAGTTGCAAACACTGCCACCTGTGCAGCTGGCACAGAAGTATTTCCAGATATTTTCAGAGGAGAAAGATCCTCTTTGGCAAGTATGTGTGTTTACTGCCTACTTGGGGCCTGCACTGTCAGAGATGTCAAGTAAATCTCAGTTGTCTCCTTAGTTTTTTTTCTTTTGAAACCAAACCAAGTAGCTGTATGTTACACAGAATTTTGTAGCAAGTGCAAGAGTGAAGAAAGTGAGCCATGCACCTATACAGTTGGTAGGAATATTAAAGTGATGTCCTTGTTCTACTTTTTTTTGTCCCTTGTCTCAGCCCATACCAGTGTGGGCTCTGTGCCAGATTTGCCCATAGAGGTACTTGGGGCATGTAAGCCAAGACTGTGTGAATCTCCTGTTTTTGATGGATAGATACTGTTCTTCGTTTCATTTCCTAGAGAAGGCAGGGCAACATGCCCATGTTTGAAGAGTCTATTTGTCTTCCAGTTTTAAGATGGAAAACCAAGACACTTAGAAGTTAACTGTGGAGTGCAAGGTAGGAAGCAGGGTAGCTGAGAGAGCAGTATCCTTTCCCAGTTAGCTGTAAATCATATTACCACTTTGCTGACTTTCAAGGTTCTTCTTTAGGAAGAGCAGATTCTTTGATTTGTGGCATGAAAGGCTTCCTTTCGCTTTCCTGTTGTATTTGATCCCCAACACATTTTTGCTTTTAGGATCCCTGTGAGGACAAACGCCACAAGGACATTTGGTCCAAAGAGAAGACCTGTGATCGGTTTCCCAAGCTGCTAATCATTGGCCCACAGAAGACAGGTCAGCTGGTTCAGTCCTTGATTTACATGCTTGAACCTAGTTATCCTTGATGTTAGTATCACCTCTTGATTTTATTTTGAAGGAATTCCTTATGCCCAGAAGGACTAGTTTCCCCCTCAATCTTGACAGTGTGACTTTGGCTCCCTGGACCTGTAACCAGTTTCCTGTCATGACCAATATATATTTAAGATTCAGCCTTGGGAATTTGAACTGAAATGTGCAGCAACAACCCATTGAACCTGTTGTAGAAAGTCCAAATTGAGGGATCAGACTTCATGAATCAATTCACATAATTTTTCTACCTGTAGAATGTGAACTGTGCAGAACACTAGGTGAATTACAGCCATGTGCTACTGCAAGCAGAGAACAAGAATTGAAAGGGTAATTCTGGAGCGAATGGGACCCAAATATAGCACCTGGCTGGGTCATGGCACCCATCCTGTTTAAGCCTGACCCCCTTTTGAGATCCAAGAAGAGCACAGAAGCTAGAATATAAACATCTAGTAGAGGCTTGGCAGGTGAAAGGAGCATCACTTTTCAGGACTGCTCTCCATTCATTTTCATGTAAAGGTACTACAGCTCTCTACCTGTTCCTGGGGATGCACCCTGACCTGAGCAGTAACTATCCCAGCTCGGAGACATTTGAAGAGATTCAGTTCTTCAATGGGCATAATTACCACAAAGGCATCGACTGGTAGGTTTCAATTTGCAACAGGGATTGAATGTGGAGCTTACATTGTGGCTTATTTGTGTTCTACAGTATTGTGTTATATTGTTTTATTAATTGATGTGTAATTATTGTTCGTGTTATATTAATTATTGTATTTGTTTTTTTCTGTGAGCCACCCCGAGTCCCTTCGGGGAGAGGGGGCAGGATATAAATAAAGCTTATTGTTGTTGTTGTTGTTGTTGTTATTATTATTATTATTATTATTATTATTATTATTATTATCATTATTATTGTGGCACTGAAGTGGCAACAGAAACCACATTAGAACTGGATCACCTTTGTACAGTCTGCTTAGCCAAAATACTCTGGAAGGATAACAGAATGGCTGGCAGGCACAAAAGAAACTTGTGTATATATTTTTATGGTGATTGTATCTATGTGCTAAGCTTAGTAGTGCTACCTCTGTTGCTTTGTCTTCAGAGCATCACATAAATACAGAACTGGTTATGTACAGTATGTTTTTTCCTACCACTTTGAGCAGATTTCTGTTTTATTTTCCTGAGCTGTACCACAAACAAGTAAAGTCACAAGTCTGTTAGACTCTCCCTCCATAACTTCTCCGGAGTGGACAGCTTTGACAAACTTCTGGCAACAAGCTGCCTCAACCCCCCAAATTGCAAAAAAATAAAATAAAATAAAAAACAACAGTAACAAAAACAAAACAAAACAAAAAATTAAAAAATTAACATGAAAGGTGAGGGAATCAAAGGTGTCCTCTTGGCTTCATTTTTTTTGTGTGTGTTAAGGGAATCAGATTTGTTTCACAACCTATTTTAAGTCCAGAACTGTTACCGTCAGAGGCATCCAGGAATTGAACCCCCCATTTTTGTCCCCCCCCCCCCCCCGATATTTCTCTCCATGCCAGAGTGCATTGTTGGTGTTCTGTGGACATGAGTCCACAGTGAGGAGATGTGCAGTCCACTCTTCATTCACCCCAGGCTAATCTTGCATGTTTAATTTCAATGAAAGGATGGTGATTGTCTGATCTCTCCCTTCCCCCCCCCCCCAMAAAAATCTTAATTTTGGTTATTCAAGGTGCATTTGATTGAGATGTAGTCTTCTCCGCAATAAATAGCAGCATGATAATCCTTTGATCCAGAGGAGTACTCTTTCAGTTGTGCAATAATCCTGTATGTATAAGCAGCATGAGGCTGACATTCTAAAATGGGATCATCTTAACACGTACATGTTGCTTTGGCTTGATGACTTCAGTTGTCTGTCAACACTGCATAGTGATATCAGTTTCATGCTGCTTTCACTGCCATGCCTCCATCCTACACCGGATGCTTCGTTCAGTGAAGTACTTGGAATTCTCTGCGAGAGACCAGTAGTGTCTGTCCACAGGGAACTTCTAATACTATACATCCCAAAGTCTGGGATTGATCCCTGTGATAGCTGTAGTATCATACTTCTAAATCTGTAGTGCAGATGAACTCTGGGTTCATCTGGAATTTTTGGCAAACAGGGAGCCTTGGGTATCTCCAAGTTCTTGATTTTATTACAAACTGGTATGCATCAATACACATAAGCATTAGGGATGGGTCTGAACGTTTCTCTGTTGCCTTCATCTCTTTCTGTTTTTATCTTTCTTCTCTGACATTTCTTTAAGGTACATGGAGTTTTTCCCCATCCCTTCCAACACCACCTCTGACTTCTATTTTGAGAAGAGTGCCAATTATTTTGACTCGGAAGTAGCACCCAGGCGGGCAGCCGCACTCCTTTCCAAGGCCAAAATAATCACCATCCTCATTAATCCAGCCGATAGAGCATACTCATGGTACCAGGTAAGGCATTGGGTGGTGGAGGAGTTGGTACCTCTTTTCTTAAAAATATTATGAGTTTTTGCTAGGGCATTGAACAATGGGTTGAGAGCTATAAATTCTTACCATTTTTTTTGTTACTTGGTGGAAAAAAAGTGGTGTACCCTATTCTGACAAAAGTGGATGATGTAGTTTCTTGCCATGCTTTAAAAATTTAGATCGAGTGCACTTTATTTGTAACATTGCATGCAGAATGGCAATATCTTTATTAGGTCAAGCTTTCAAAATCCTCAGATCTCTTCATTAGCAAGATTTTACAAAAGTGCAGACTGAATCTTCATTATAAAAATGAATGTGCACCCTTTTAATTATTGCAATTACTGAAATGAATGCTTAACTGGAGTCTTATACATACATACATACATACATACATACATACATACATACATTTATCCCAGGTAAATGAGTATAAGACTTGCTCAAGAAACAAGAACTGATATTTATTTATTTTTATTTACTCCATTTCTACCCTGCTCTTCTCACTCAGAAGGGGACTCAGCGGCATTACAAAATTGGCCAAAATTCAATGCCACATTTCAACATACATAGCAAATAAACATAATAAAATAATAAAAACAAATAAGCATACAATATGATTAAAACAGTTAAAACCATTAAAACAGCATAAAACATATGACCGCATTCCTTTTAAAAACATTCCAACCCCCTTTCTACCAATATAGTCTTCTTCTCAGTTTCTAAAACAGTTATATATGCATAATTAGAATGGTTGTTACATGTCCAATGTGGCTGAGGGACCCATTTCAGTATGGCAGAATTTTAAAATAGTCTTTTGCATAGTATTCAGTTGTGCTGAAGACTTTTCACACATAATTTTATAACCCAGCAACAGTTCATAAAATGTTTGTGTAACTATGTCACACCCTGCTGAGCTATACATCTATTTTTACTGAGAATTTTATAAATGCATTAAAATTACAAAAATTAAAGAAAGGAAAAGGAAACAAGAAAGAAAGAGTAAAAGAAAATAGAAAAGTAACCCCAGTCTTCTTTTTGATGGTTGTATGTGCATATTGTTATACGTACCTCTCCCTCATATTCACACCTCTCAGTATAGGAGCTCACAATAGTGCAATGGGTTAAACCCTTGTGTTGACAGGACTGCTGACAGAAAGGTTGCCGGTTTGAATCCTGAGTGTAGAGGGAGCTCTGTCAGCTCCAGCTTCTCATTCGGGCACATGAGAGCAGCCTCCCACAGGATGGTAAAACATTTGGGCGTCCCCTGAGCAACATCCTTGCAGACGGCAAATTCTCTCACACCAGAAGCGACTTGCTTCTCAAGTCACTCTTGACATGAAAAAAGTCTCAGTATTACAGCATATTCACTTTCAGTAGTCTATTTACTCTAAATATTAGAACCGAAAATCACCAATTCGTGTTCATTTTTTCCCCTTCCAAAAAATGTATAAGGATTTTCAGATATTTAAGAAATATCATTAACAACATTTTCCTAGGTTGTTGTAGGTTTTTTTCGGGCTATATGGCCATGTTCTAGAGGCATTCTCTCCTGACATTTCGCCTGCATCTATGGCAAGCATCCTCAGAGGTAGTGCTTGCCATAGATGCTGGCGAAACGTCAGGACAGAATGCCTCTAGAACATGGCCATATAGCCTGAAAAAACCTACAACAACCCAGTGATTCCGGCCATGAAAGCCTTCAACAATACATTGAACATTTTCCTACTCAAACCAAACAATTTTTCCATTGTTACAAAATTTGTCATATTTGATTACTATTTCTCAAGTTCAAGTAGTGTTGGATGCTCCCAACTTTACTCATTAAACAATCTTGCTGCCTTGTTCATATGTGATAATAATCTTCCATTTCCATTTTCTCTTTCCCAGCTGTACATCCATTATTCCAAGTAGAAAAGTTCAAGTTTGAATTGAATGCTAAACTTTAAAATTAATAAATATGACTTAATATTACTCATATTTCAAATATACATTAAATGAACATGTCCCTGTTGCCATTGCTTAAATAATACACTGGATATCAAAACATAAACTGTTTGAAATACAGGCAAAACGTTCTTTTTCATCACTGAAATCCTCCCCAACATTGATATAGTTAATCTATCTTGACAATCGTTTTCTCAGTTCCACTCCAATGTCTTATTTTAATTATTTTAAGTCCAAATACAGTCCACATTTGTGTTGATTCATGTGAGTGACTGGCCCATGAAGAAGTTGTGTCGAAATGCAGTCTTGGGGCTACCACTTCCGTGGCTGTGTTTTCTCTCCCACAAGACACACTAAAGTGTTATCTCTCTCATAGCACCAACGGGCACATGATGACCCAGTTGCCCTGAAGTACACCTTTCATGAGGTCATCACAGCTGGGCCTGAGGCCTCTCAGAAGCTCCGGACACTGCAGAATCGCTGCCTTGTGCCAGGCTGGTATGCCACCCACATTGAACGCTGGTTGAATAATTTCCATGCCAACCAGGTAAGTGATGATTATCAGGTACTCTGTTCTTCTCAAAACATAGAGGGGGAAAGGGCTAGTGTTTGAGATGGCAATTACTTTATGCCATAATCTTCTTAGGGCTGGTTTCTGTTTACTGGAATTTTGGCAGAAACTTACTGTGGATCCTGCATTGTGGTTCAGGTCTATAAAGGAAGGAGCGGTGTGAATTGGGTAACACATGTGATTCTATCCGCTATCAAGATTGTAAGCCTTTGAAGACAACTATCAGTGGGGGGAAGAAAGGTTCTTCAATATGTTTTCTGTGTATCATGCATGTGGAATCTGCACCTATACAGAACAACTTATGGGAAGCTTCTAGATAGCTTAGTTTGAGTGATAGATAGCTAAGCTTTAGCAGCTACCCTGCCACCTCCCTTTGATCCAGTGATCCAGTGATCAGCAGTTTGTTATCCATCTTGGTAGAATCTATCAGATTTTTTAAAATCGTGTCAGAAGCGAATTTAGAATACACTGCAAGTTGTTTCTGGTGTGAGAGAATCAGCCGTCTACAGAGACATTGCCCAGGGGATGCCTGTGGGAGGCTTCTCTCATGTCCCTGCAAGGGAAACTGGAGCTGACAGGCGAGAGCTCACCCTGTCTCACAGATTCAACATCTGACCTTCAGGCCAGCAGTTCAGCCAGCACCCATTGCGCCACAGTGGCTCCGTCAAATAATCTCTAGATGTAACTTCTCTGTTTTCCTTTTTGTTGTGCTTTTCTGATGTGTCTCTGCCTTCTGGCAAATTTGCTTACCTATTCCCATGTGTGTGAAGCACAAAAGACTACAATAAAAGAAAATGGATTACTTACTCCTAACTTGTTATTTGAATGGCCATTCATACAATCCACTCTTCCTCTCTTTGGTGGTCTATCGTTGGCTTTTCATGCTTTGCCGTTGGGTCAGACAACTGAGTAAAGTGTAAACTGAGGAAATAGCACTGATCACAGGCACTTAGAAGGGAGGGGTGAGCTAATGCTAAAACTAAGCTATCTAGAAGATATGGATGGGCTACTCTTCACAAGTATAGATTCCATGTGTGTGAAGAACAAAAGTTGTAAATAAGTAAACTTCTTATTGATTTAGCCCCCTTGATGGTTTCTGTTAAAAGAACAGGCAGTGTAATCATACATAATCTCCTTCCATGTGGATCTAGCGCAATCATTTATAGGAATGAAAACAAATTATTGGTATTTAAATTTGGAAAAGTCTATGGGTTGTTGTAAGTTTTTTGGGTTGTATGGCCATGTTCTAGAAGCATTCTCTCCTGACGTTTCACCTGTAGCCGAAACATCAGGAGAGAATCCTTCTAGAACATGGCCATATGTAAAAAATAAACGTTCACCTGGACAGGGGGGACAAGCAATCACACCCACTGTCCTTCAGCTTACAGGGTTATCGTTCAGCTGGACACTTCTTTGAATAAAGATTGTTAACTATAACAAGGGGGAAAGACTCTCTTATCCCACCTTAGTACTATAACTTTTAAGTGACCAACTGTGATGTAGTTGTAGACCGATGTATTTGTTAAAATCACTGCCACCACCTCACTTAAATGGGTCTGAGGAAAACCACATGTGTGAATGTGAAAAATAGGAAAAGTTATATTTAAGCTCTTTGTTCTTCTTTAACCACTGCTACTTTTGCTGACTGGACTGAAAGAAATCTTCTTTAAGTTAGCTGAGTTGTAAAGGTTGTAATAGACTGAGGCAGACTCTAATTTGAAGGTGAAATAAGAAACAGGTTTATTTTGAAACTTGATCAACTCTTAAAAGAGTGGTACAATAATCTTGATGCAGTTCAGTTCTTGAGGCTTAGCTGGTTTTAAACAGGCAGTCTTACTTAAAGGCTTCAACTTTTGTTTCACAGTGAGTTCCTTGTCCCCACACTGATCTCTAACTGACACAGTGTGTCTTTGAGCACAGTACACAAACTGCCTCCTAGAGCAAATCAGGCTTCCCTTTCACTGTCCCTACTCTGACCAGTGAACCAGGATCCTTTGCCTATCCCTTGCTCTAATTCTCAAGGCTCACACAAAAGTCTTCCCTCCCTGCCTAAGATCTCTACAGCTCTCTCTTCCTAAAATATACGTCTTTACTCCACGATGTCTAAACTCCAACTCCCTTACTTGTCAAATAAGCCAGCCTTTTTCCCCTCTAAATCCTAACTCCACCCCTGACTGTCCTAACCAATCAGGAGTCGGCTGACTCCTCCCTCCTGCCTCTGGCTCTCTTGCCTAACCCAGAACATGTCAGCTACTGACTTCCAGGCTTCGGCCTTCCTGCCAAAAAGGTCAGTTTCACTACACCATACAACCCAAAAAACCTACAACAACCCAGTGATTCCGGCCATGAAAGCCTTCGACAATACTAAAACCTATGTTTTAGGGGCAATGAAAAAGGACATGCTGAACACTTCCAAAAATCCTGATTCAGGCCACGGAATGAGAAGGTCTCTCTGGCTTGGTATGCTTAACGCTTGAGAACCAGGTTGTTGCCATTCCTGTCTTGGTGAGGATTTTATGCTCTTGCATCATTAACTTGCATCTTGTTGACAATGTGTCTGCCTGCACAGGCATATGCTTGTGTTGATCAGCATGCTTATCTTGATTAGAGCCTGCAAAGGGACGTTTAAATTGCCATTAATGATGTCTTGGAGAAGGAGAAACCGAACAGATAAGTCATGAAGACACACATGTTGGAAATCCTGTACTTAATCTGCACTTGAAAGCTTTTTTCCCATAAGTGCAAGTTGATTTAATGTTCATGAGAAGATCATGTCACAATAAGGTTGAAAATAATCCACCTCATTGGAGCTTTCTTCTACACGAACACATTTTGGATAGTTTTCAAATATTTTAGAATAAAGCCACAGGAAGGATGCATATGCTTCCTGTTTATTGTGCACAAGGGTGTTAATCATTAAGTGTTTTCTTAGCTTCCTTGATACTTCGTATTGGATAACACCAGTTGCATTTTATTATTTTAGGCTGGTACATGGTGGTAGATAGCTTGTACTTGATGTTCATTTGAAAGAAAAAGCATATGACTTTGAATAAATTCAACACTACTAGGAACACTGGCACTGTCTATGTTACATGTATACTATCTTGTCAGATGATTTCTGTTTTTGACTTTAGCAGTTACATTTCATCAAAAATGAGGTAACAGTTTTAAAAATGAAAAGGAATCATGTTTAATGGGCACATTGAGATTAACATTTGGCAAGGTTTTAAAAATGATATAATAAGAGCTCTCATAAATGACAGTTCATTGAGATAGAGACTACATGTGACTTAGAAACTGCCCACCACAATTTGTACTCCAGAATCCAAAATTATCAATTTGAGTGGCTGAGATAGTGACACCTTTGCTTCCTGACAGTACAGTGTATACATACTTTGTTTCACGTACATTGAGTGTTAAACTCCTTTCAGGACAGATGTGCGGGGTGCATAAAGTAAAGGTAAAGGTTGTCCCCTGACATTAAGTCCAGTCGTGTCTGACTCTGGGGGTCAGTGGTCATCTCCATTTCTAAACTAAAGAGCCAGTGTTGTCCATAGGCACCTCCAAGGTCATGTGGCCGGCATGACTGCATGGAGTGTCATTACCTTCCCGCCGGAGCGATACCTATTGATCTACTCACATTTGCATGTTTTCGAACTGCAAGGTGCATATATAACATAAATGAATTAAATGTTTACACTTGGGTCCCATCTCCAAGAAATCTCATTATCTACACAGATGCAAATACAGTTATTCCAAAATTTCAGGGGGTGGGGGTTAAAAACTCCACACACTTCTGGTCCCAAGCATTTTGGATAAGGGGTACTCAACCTGTATAGTGGAGATGGATCGTTATACTGATAGTGAGTTAGCAAGAACTGAAGTTCTTTCCCTTAGATCCAAATTAAGAAAATGCCGTAGATATAGCTCATTAATATAAGTAGGCTTCAAAAATAGCAGGACACATGGGCAAGGGTGCTATAGTGACACACCACTTGTCTAGCAGTCCTTTGCTCTCTCGCATTTACAGAAGGAGGATGAGACTGCTAGCCGTGAACTGCCCGTTTCTCAAATGCACTGCTTCCAGGTGGGGGCAAATGTCTGTGAAGCTAAGTCAGTATGGGAAGTCTGGCTCAGACGTTCATTACAGGCTCCCACGCTGCCTTGGCTCTGTGGACACCACTGGCGGAAAGCCAGGTTTTTGACAAACCGGCAGCTCACAGCTGGTAGCCGGCTCCTGCTGCTTGTGCCATGGCTTTTCCACACTGCCCCTGCCGCCCCCTCCTTTTTCAACATTGCCATTGCCTCTGCCTCTACTAGTAGTGAAACTCTGTCCCTGGAGCTATATGATCTCAGCCATTGTTCCAAGTCTGCCATAAAATGGTTTGCTGTGGCATTGGGAAGTAGCATTTGTTCATGAATGTAAAGTAATTACTGACCGTAAGGCTTTTTTTCCTCCCTCCAGCCAGCCCTGTGCACTTGGGACTGGATAAAACAGAAATGGAACTAAACATGCAAAGCCCGGGTGTGTTGCTTCTGTTCTGCTCCAGTGAAGTGAGCAGAAGCTGGGTCATTAATTGTTCCTGCTTTAGCTCTTTACCAAGTCTGAGAAGAGGAGACAAGCCACCTCTGTTGTCCCAAAGGCTCTGTATTAGTGGCTAAGGTTGATTGTGCTTTGAACCAGAGTTGAACCTAAGGAGATTTATAGGGCATTTCTTTCTTTCCTACCCTTATTCTTTCTCTCTTCCCTTCTTTTTCAGATTCTTGTTTTGGATGGCAAATTGCTACGCACAGAACCAGCTAAAGTGATGGAAGTAGTCCAGAAATTCCTCGGCGTGACAAACATCATAGATTACCACAAAACTTTAGCGTAAGTCTTCCCATCTGTTCCTTTTGAGCCACTGCAGTCTGTGAAAGTACATCCTGAAGCCTGTTTGACTTGCTGCCTAGGTTTCTCCCTCTTGCCACAGAGGAATCAAGAACTCTAACTTAGGAGAAACTGGAATATGGATCACATATTCTTTATAAGTGTAAAAACTACACCAAAACTTTCATAAAACTGCCTGTCGAAGGATAAGGGATAAATACATTCATTCTGCTCTAGTTTTAGACATGATAAGACAGGCTTTTTCTTCTTATTTATTGTCTCTAAACATAGTATAAATTAGATTAAGTGCTCCCTGTACAGCATGGACCATGTGACTATCTGTGGTAGAGCTCTCTGAATGCCTGCACATAATTTTCTTTCCATACTTTTTGGCAAAACTGTACACAGAGCGCACATAGATAGGTGGGTTGGTTAGTGGAGCAACAGTTAGTGATAGAGGAGGTATTGTCATTTTTTTTAATTGAACTCTTCCTCTTTTTTAAAAAAACAAATGCTTTTAAGGTGTTTGATTTTCTCTACAATAACTGTTGAGTAAACTTCTACATGTTACTCAATCCACCTGTTCTTCCAGTCCTTGAATACTATCCCTCACACATGCGTTAAACTGGCTCATATCTATATTTTTCTACTCTAATGCATCGAAATAGCCTCTCAAAATAAATTCAAAACCCTTAACATACTCATAAACTTGTCTTAGTCTCAAGGTTTATGTCTTAATTGTGATTGTTGTAGATGAAAGGGTTTTTAAAGGACTGAAATGTAAAAAGTAATTGTAAATTCAACATTTAATGTATTTGTAAAAGCTGACTGCAATAAGTGTGCGTCAACTTTTTGAGGGAGAGTGGAAGAAGGAAAGTGATGTAATCATGTATCCAGTACTCATTAAATCAGGCAGTCAGTCAGTCAATCAATCAATCAGTGTGATACTTCCAAAGTTAGTAGAAAGGCAGACTTAATGCATGGTAATCTCCCCCACCCCCCTCCCGGCTTTCGATTGCCATTGTGGCTTTTTAGAGTTGTTCTGTAGATGAGCTTAGAGCAGAAATATTACAAAGTAACAAGTAATAACAGACTAGATCCACATAATCCATGACTAATAACATACAACAGATACTGAACATCTCCACTGATGTTACCGCATGTAACTGGCTGCAATAATAAAAAGTGTTAAATAATTCTAAGTTGCAGAGAAAGAGGGCAAGGACAGTTTGGGTATCACTGTCTGCTCAAGCTTCCTTGTGGCTTGCTGCTTTTGTAGGTTTGATCCCAAAAAAGGATTCTGGTGCCAACTCCTGGAGGGAGGAAAAACCAAGTGCTTGGGCAAAAGTAAAGGACGGAAGTACCCAGAGATGGATTTAGATGTAAGTATTGTACACCTTGCAGTGGTAAGACTGGAATTCTTCCTTCTTGTGACCCTTTGGACTTCTTGGGATGATGGATGATGCAACCGCTGAACTGGCTCATCTGAGTTGTGCAGAACAGAGGCCTCATTCACATTCCAGGATTCACTGTGAAAGATCCCCCATTCATATCAGGCTGTCTCTCAGTGTTGGTAGACACCTGAAGGGATTTTCCTGGTAGCTCAGATTTTCAGTTATCCTAGTTTTTAATCAGCTGTTGGGTTTCCCTGATTTTATTTTTTAAACAATGCTATTAGTTTTAGTTCTTGGTTTAATGTATCTGCCTTTATTGTAAACCATTTTGAGATTTTAAAATGAAAAGCAATGTAGAAGCATTCTTCAAATGCAATTCTTTAAACATAAGGAAAAAAGAAAGAAGGAAAACTACTAAAGCTTGAGACGATTCTGTACTTCTTAAAAAAACCTGAACATTGGGGATTTTGGGGAAGAAAATGGCAATCATAACCTTTTTTGAAAAGGAAAGATGATTCCATATCCTTTTGGCAAATGTGAATCCCCCTGAACATCTGGAGACAACTTTTTGAAAACCACTAGGCAAGAAAAGGCATGACCTTGCTAGAAGTCAACCCTTTGAACAAGTAATATTCACAAGCATTCATGTAATGGCACACAGGTAACTTAGCTGTTAAACTGAAGAACCATGTCTTTGAACTGCCAGGGACAAAGACATGCCACTCCACAAAAATATATTTGGCTAGCAGAGTTTTAAAATGTTTCTTTGAAGCTGAAATTGCAGTAGCAGTTTCAATTGCCCAAAACATATACTCTCCCTTGAAACCTCTGTTTAAAATATGCACTCAGAGACGAAAAACAAAGTCTTCTTTAGAAAATAAGATATTTTGTTTACTCACAAACATCTTGTATTAATTCACCATACAGGCACATTTCTTATTAAAGTTCAGTTATAGATAGGATGTAGTTTCTCTGTGTTGAGAACACAGAGCATCATTCTTAATCAGTAATCCATAGTTCAAAGTCTTTAAGTATACATCTTATTAAAGTCCAAATTTTATAATTGTACTCACCTCTTCACGCTGGCAATGAAGATCCTCATAGTTAAAGCAATGGTATTCCCCATAGTCACCTACGGATGTGAGAGTTGGACATTAGCTAAGCGAAGGAAGATAGATGCTTTTGAACCGTGGTGCTGGAGGAAAGTTCTGAGAGTGCCTTGGACCGCCAGAAAATCCAACCAGTCCATACTTCAGGAAATAAAGCCTGACTGCTCACTGGAGGGAAGGATATCAGAGGCAAAGATAAAGTACTTTGGCCACATCATGAGAAGAAAGGAAAGCTTAGAGAATTAAATGATGCTGGGGAAAAGGGAAGGAAAAAGGAAGAGGGGCCGACCAAGGGCAAGATGGATGGATGACATCCTTGAAGTGACTGGATTGACCTTGAAGGAGCTGGGGATGGTGACGGCCAACAGGGAGCTCTGGCATGTGTTAGTCCATGAGGTCACGAAGAGTCGGAAACGACTGAATGAATGAACAACAAAACTGACCTCTTCTCAAAGCAAACATAGTAAACTGTTCCTTCATAAGTCTAAAATTACATCTGCTCCCACTGAAGTTCAGAAACCTATTGATAACAAAATGGAGTCTTGAGTCTGAACATGATCAGTACAATCACATGTCTGTAACCCCTCCTACACCAAAGAGGTCAAACTGGCAAATCAACACACACACACAATACAGGTTAGCAAAGATATACATTAACAAACAAATAGTGAAGACTTGGAGGTTGCTATTTCCAAGAGGATTTGGGTAGAGCCAGTCAAGTGGATTCTTTTCATCTTAACTTCACATGCAAAAGAGTGACAGATATAATTAGTTTGGCTCATGAGCCATTTCCAAAATGGTGGTCGAGCTGGGTTGGGAAGATGTACATGATGCCATGAGATTCCTTTGTTCAGGGGTTTACTATGGTGGTATTGGTCTCTACCAACCAAATACACCTCCCATGGTCTTCTTAGGAAATATGAATCGGACCAATGCTGGAATTCTTCTGTGTTTCCAAAACAGTTCCTTTACTCTTCTCTTCTATCTTTGAGCAGAAAACCTAGCTCTTTTACGGCTACTTCACATAACTGTATTCAGAGTTGGACCTTAAAAAGCTACAAAGACTCACATAACAGAGAACTGCAGCTGACTACTGCAGTTGAGTGATTTTTTTTTTAGATAGCCCACCTCTGCATCAGGGTCAAGGGCCCTTTCAGCTGTTATTGAATCCCATTTCCCATACTCTATTGCAAGAGATGGTGAATTCGAAGTTCAACAACTCCTGAAGGATTATAGGTTCCTTTATTTTTTGTGCTCCACATAATGCATGAAGTAGCCCTTAAAGAAAGGATATTTTGAGCAATCAAATGGGTGTTTGCCAAGATGAATATTCTTGCTAAATATTCTCTAGGCAGAATCTGAGCAGGAAAGCTGCAAAGCACTTGAGTTGATTCCATTTCAGCAACCCAGATTCAACCAGCCAGTCCTTGTCCACAAAACTTTTCTTGGGGTTTGCATAGTTGGTGGTGACAGTTCCTTAGACAAGAAGAACTTGATGGAACACTTGTCATTGCACGGTTATTTGAATGGAGAAACACATATGCACTTGCAAGGTTTGGACACTTTCACAATTTTGTGCTTGGTGTCCCAGAGGTGAGTACAACTTGCATCATCCTTAAGGAACTGGCATTTGCCTACTGGGGTGTTATAGGAACAGTAGATCAGTCCCATGTTATTGGCAAGATAGGAGACATTCCAGCATCACTATATAGCATACTGGAACTTTGCAAACCATGTGACCAGAAGAGCTGGTGTGCAGGAAGGTGACTTTGTTGGAACCTGCTACTTTGGCTCTTAAGTAGATTAGGATGGGCTGGCAAGTGAGGATGGGGAAATCTAGCACCTGTGAATGTCAAAATAAACCTCTCCCAAATTGTATGTGTTAGTGGGTGTTGATTGGCCATCTATCATACATGTGGTCCTCTCTGATGCAGAATACATGACATAATCAATGGCATTTTGCTAACTTATCTCTTTTTCTTTCCATTGCAGTCGAGAGCTTTCTTGAGAGACTATTATAGGGACCACAACATAGAGCTATCCAAGCTACTGTATAAAATGGGCCAGACGCTGCCAACGTGGTTGCGAGAGGAACTCCAGAATACTAGATAACCACTTTGTATCTGTCCTGTATTGAGCAATAGTAAAGTGAGTCCATGGTGAGGATCTCAGATGTGTACGCTGAGACAAAATGACATGATACAGTATGGGATGTGCAGCCAGGGAAGAAGCATTTTGAGCAATATCCACTCAAGGTTGTCTGGTGGCAAATGGAAAAATGATCCCATAGAGTTAACATTGTAGCTTGGAAGAAGTCAACCACCTGAAACCTGCCAGAGTTAAACACTCTATGCCCCAGAGGCCAAGCCACCATCACACAGATCTCTTCTGCCTTCCCTAGGAGCAATGCTTTACTGCTAGAATTGAGGTTGCCTCCTAGTCTGTAATGCCACTTCCTGGTGAAGAGAATCCATGATGGATCTGCTCTTTTCTCCACACTTCAGTCCCAACATCTGATACAGTATTACAGCCAGAAGTCTCCTTCTCCTCACATGGCGGAGTTATGAAAATGGCATTGAAGGACTCACCACAAGAGCTGATTAGTAATAGTTCTTGCACCGTATCAGTTGAGAGAGGGACATCATAAGTAATATGAACTTGGAACCAGATGCAGGCCCTGCTGCAAGCTCGGACCTAATTATGCAATTTGGACTCAGACTGAGACTGGACTGAGATGGTGTTAATGGAGTACAGTTCTAAGCAAAAAGAGATGTTTTGTTTGTTTCATTTTTTAAAAATACAAGGTGACTTTGAAAGACTTTGGTGCTGGCAATATTTAGATTATCCCAGATGGATTATTTATTTCCATCTTCTTATTTTAAGGTTGTAATTGGGTGAAGGGGGGGAGGAATATGGGTGGGAATAACCATTCATCTGGCAATGTGCTTAGTGCAAGAGATCTTGCTCCAGAGAGTTATTCTGACATGTCCTTCTCACACCTCTCTCTCTACATTTTAAATACAAGTTAGTTCCTGTGGTTGAAGATGGGGATTGTTCATCATCTTTGTTACTTCTAGTACACATGACCTACCAGCTCAGAATAACAAAATGTTACCCAGATTTGAATTATGTGTGTTGAAAAGATTGCTTACAAACAGTGAAGTTTTAAAGCATCATAATAGCAGTCTTTTCTGTCTTAAGCTGTCTTTTGTGGGGCAAGGATATGCTGGAGTTGTGTTTCAGGTAACGGGTTTATTTTACTCCTTTTTATAATTGAAGAGAAAAGTGGTCTTTGGATTAGTTGATATGCTGGCGTGATGTCCTTGTATGAGAAGGATGTTAAGGGTTGAGTCTGTTCCCACCAGTTGAACTGAATCCTCTCTTCCAGTATTTCCTATTGGAGCTGGAACTGAGAAAGCCTGTTAAGATAGCAGCTGTAGTTTGTGTATATATAATTAATTTACAAACAGGCTGTGGGTGGTAGTGTCATTCATATAAAACTGAGTATATGAATGAATTCTTGCTCATTAACATGTTAAAGAGAACAACAAATGGTTTTGTCACTTAACCATTCAGCCATTTGGAACTGGGAAGCCTGAGATGTTGGAGGAGTCAAATAATTTTCAGAAAGGCGCCTCAGTGGTGGGATTCATGTTCTAGAGTACAGCAGTCCTTTGAGACCAACCCTCAAATAATTCTGGTAACAACCAAAAAGATCCTTGATAGTAAAGCCAGTAGAATAGACTTGCTAGATCAGGAACTAAAGGGTAAGCATAGAAAATGTACTGGAATGGGAAGAGGGGGTTTATTGATGTTTATCTCACCAGATCGCCTTTGTGCTATTGCTTGAGATCTACCCAAAAGCATCTAGCTGGCCATTGCTGGAAACAATATGCTGAACTGGCTGGATCCAGATGGTGTTCTCTTTCCTCCTTTCTCCTATGAAGTATCCTTCATACTAGCTACCATCTGATGGTTGCCAGTTAAATACTGTCTTCCCCTCCACTGTGCCTGAGTGCCATCTTGTGGGTCAGCCCAGAAATTACAGATGGCCTTTCATTTTTTCCTCATTGCTTTTGTTTTAAACAGCTGTATCAATAAGAGAGATGCAACTGAAATAGAAGAAGCATTTCGGAATTTGAATTGGAGTGGTGATAATGCTGTAGCGACAATGCCTCTTTGTTCAAAAATAATATTTCACCTGTGGCCTTCTATACCAAGAGACTTTGAAAATATGCTGGCAGCAAAAAGATGTTTTCTCTCCAGGCACATAAGTCCAGATGAACCACTTTTCCATGTAGGAAGACCATAGCAAACTGCACTGAGGTAGGGTTTCCTACATCTGATATATGTACGGAGCAGGAAGGAGGTAGGTGCATTTGAGCAACTACCGCTGAGATAACTTCAAGCCCACCCTAGGAACTTATATGAATTCTGTATATATTCACAATGTGAAAGGAGGTGCTGGATCTTCCACATTCACAAACTGAGCAACTCAGCAAAGGTATTGTAACCATGACTGCTAGAACAGAGATGCTCCAGCCTGAGAAGAGTGAGAAGGATCCTTCATATATTGGCCATGCCCTGGTGTGTTTACGTTTGAGAACCTTTTCTTGGAGGAGAAGACATCTGGGTTTCACTGCTTTTCCAAACATACTGCTGAATTGGCAGTAATTCTCTGAAATCAAGTTTATAATCAGTTCAACAATGTCTTCAGTTTAGAGCAAGAGATGGGTTTAGTGAATTGGATTCTACACAACACTTTATGCTCCTTTACCCGTGGAATGTAAGAGATGGCGACTCTTTAAAATCCCAGTCCCATTCCTGACCTGGTCATCTCTGTGGGCTCCCCTCTCAGATGTGTAAATGGATCTCCTAGCCTCATTTGTCTGTCTGAAGGATGAGTTCGAAGGCCCTTGGGAGAGTCCTCCAAGAAACCACTTTAGCAGATGAGCTGCAGCGGGCATTGTTCATGCTCATGCTTGCTGCTGTTTCTGTCTTTCTTAAATAACAAAATGATGTAGAAGTCTTAGAAGCTTAATGCTAGCTCCTGAAACATGCATTCTACAAATGTATGGCATCACATTGCCAAAGGGACAACTGCAACTTAAACAGAAAAAACCCTAAAGTTACACAAGCTCATTGTTTGCGAAAGTATTAATATAAACTCTCAAATGCTGGTTTGATTTAGCCAACACTGCATGAAGAGAAATTTGCCTCTCTCACTTGGTCAGTCGGTCAGCGAGGCAACATTTCCCCTAGCTGAATAGACTTTAAGAAGGACAAATGTTGTTTTATTGCAGTGCTTTCTTTTTTTCCATAATGAAAGGAGGAGCCCTTGAGGGGTTTCCATTTTTATGTTTGCATGAGATTCTGTATGGTTTCCCATTGGCTGAAGGGTATCTTCATGGTGGGAGGGAGGAAAGAGGTCGGAATACTTTTAAGAGTCTTTCTCCCATATTTTTAATCTGTACTTGAACTCATTTTGGGTTCAGAAAATTGTGTCACTAATGTAAGGTCCTGTTGAACTAACTGCTAATAAAATGGGGTTATCTGTTTTTAGACATCTGTGTCACTTGTTTTTCTCTTCTACCTTTTGGAGAGTGAATTTGAAACAGAGGAATATTATCTTACTATAATTTGCAAGGACCTAGCAAGCCAGTCAGTCTTTTTCAATCAGTAGTGAGCAAATTGAAAATCCAGGACCGCATCTGTTACCCAAGGATGTCCAGCCCCTCCAGATAGGGGAGAAAATGAAAAAATTCAAAACAAAGTGGTGGAAAAAACAAGCTTTATTTCCTGTTTGAAATGCATTTTGTTACTTTGTATGATACACATAATTGCTATATAATGATACAGTTATGTTTGGCATAATATCATAAAAGTAACAGTTAAGACAATAGCAGAAAAACTTTTCTAAATTATCTTGTTTTTGTTAAGGCTGAACTATAAGGAACCTCTTTGATTTTGCCACATTATTTAGAGTCAACAAAACAAAACAAATAGCAAAAATCACTGACATGAATAAAACTGTTCTGGAACAGCTGTTCCAGGAGCTCCAGATTTATTTGCTGTGTTTAAATGTTTGTGTGCAATCCCATGCTTGGGATTTTGCAGCAGGGGGTTTCCTGTTATAATTTGCATTTATAGGGTAAGCCACCTGCCAGTTATAGTTAGGTTCCCTGGTCCCGCCCCTTTTTGAGTTTTGGAGGGAACAGGAGCCTTTTTGAGTTCAGTTCTCACAGAGAAGCCTTGCGCACAGGACATAGAACGAAGTGGCTCCTGTAGAAAAGCTTCGTCTTTTACAGCTTGGCCGGGGTTATACAGCCCTACGGCTTGGCCAGGAGACATACAGCCACAGCTTGGCTGAGGGACTCCAGCCGGCCATCACAGCAACCTGAACTCCTTCTTTTTCCCTGGAGGTCTACAAAGCTCTGTTGAGGCAAGGGTCACTCGCGGAAGCCAGACGCAGTTGGTACCGGGTGCAGGGGCTCCACGTCAACAGAGGCAAGTACAGACTGCCCAGATTAGAAGCTAGGATTTCCCCATCAGTTAGTTACAGTTAAGAAGACAGTGCCTGTTCCTAGTGGACAAGATTGAAAGAGCCTATAGACTTAAGAAAACCGTTAAAGTACCTGTTTGTTCCTTAATAAAAGAACTTTGTTGGACTTACTTTAAGCATTCTAAAGACTGTTTGGGGGAATCTAAGGGCCTTTATTCTGAGGCAGCCCCGGCGTCCCGTTGGGCACAGAGAATTTATGTCCTGTGTACAGTCTAATGCACAGGCCCAGCGTGCGACAGCACAAAAACAGATAATTATTTTGTCTCCTAGGTTTTCACATTGTCAAGCAGACATTAAGCATCCATTCCCATTCCCATTCCCATTGTAAGAATAAAAGTTGGGAACCAAAAATTGCAATTTGTATTATTGTAAAGTCTTCCTGCTATATAGTTTTTCTTTGTTTTCTTCCCCCTCCCCTGAATTTTCACATTGCTACCTGGCATTAATGGGTCCCCTAGTGATGCAGCGGGTTAAACCGCTCAGCTGCTGAATTTTCTGACCGAAAGGTTGGCGGTTTGAATCCAATCCAATCCAGCTGAGGTCAAAAGAGGTGACTATTTTTGGCTCCTTATATTCTGATGAAATCCCACATCGTTGTTAAAAATCTAGTGCCATGAGTTAAATTTTCACTGATTACTAAATTCTACAGCATATTGTGAACCACAATCCAAAATAGAGTATATCAGATGTATGGGAAGACTGAACTTTCCAGATCAGACATGCCTTGTGAGAACTGTAATGTTCACATGATCCAATGTGTAAATTGAACCACCACAAAACAAAGGTGTCACTATTTCAGCTAGCCATATGGACAGTTTTGGATATTTGAGTATTCTGGATTTCTGGATAGCAGATGTTCAACCTGTATTTAATAAGACAAGTGGTTAAGTAAGTAAATAAAATAATAAGACTATAGGTAAAACAATTCAGGTAAAATTAACTAAGATAAATTATTGGATCAGAGATCAACTCAAACCTGAACTCTCCCTAAAGGCCAACATACTTGGTCATGAATGACCATGATCAAGGGTCCGGAGAACAAGCCCTATGAGGAGTGGCATAAAGAGCCGGGCATGTTGAGCCTGCAAAAGAGAAGACTGAGAGGAGACATAGCCATGTATAAATATGTGAGGGGAAGTCATAGAGAGGAGGGATCAAGCTTGTTTTCTGCTGCCCTGAAGACTAGGATGCGGAACAAAGGTTTCAAACTACAGGAAAGGAGATTCCATCTGAGCATTACGAAGAACTTTCTGATTGTGAGAGCTGTTCAGCAGTCGAACTCGCTACCCTGAAATGTGGTGGAGGCTCCTTCCTTGGAGGCTTTTAAACAGAGGCTAGATGGCCATCTGTTGGGGGGTGCTCTGAACGCGATTTTCCTGCTTCTTGGCAGGGGGTTGGACTGGATGGCCCACGAGGTCTCTTCCAACACTGTGATTCTTTGACTATTGGTGAGCTGGCTGTCCGAGATCTCTCATTCATAACTAACATGTAGTTTCCATTTGGTTAGAATTTGAACAATAAATACTACCTTGAATATATTCAGAAGTAGCCATTTTTAAAACCAGTCTTTGTTGTTGGTAAAGTGTATTTTGATCTGAATGGCTGCCTGTTAACACTGAACAAAGGCATCCCCTCCACAAGGTGGCAGCATCAGCTTGGGAAAAGAACAATTGCCACAACTTTTCTTAGGATGATAAAACTTTGGGTGCAGTCTCATGTAGCTGTCCATTGCCATTATGTGGTTTTCTTACATTTTTGCTTACATTTTGACTGTACCATATATTGGGAACTTACGTGAGTATATGGGACCTTTGTGCAACAAAAGGCATCACTACACTTTCTCCTTCCTCCCCTCTGTAATAACATAGTACAGTCTATGCAATTTAATTTCAATCATATATACAGTTACCAGTATAAATATTAGTAATACATTTTTCTATATTTGTTGCAAAATTCTACATTTGGGCAACAGAAATCAAATGCACAAGTACAAGATGAGTACATGTGGGTCAGCAGTTCTACATGCAAAAGAGATCTTGGGAATATTGTTGATCATAAACTGAGCATGTTCCAGCTGTATGATGCTGCAGCAAGGATGTAACTACTACATCATGGAAAGAATTAGACTACATTAATAGAAGCATAATTTCAAAGTTGAGGGAAGTAATAGCTGTCACAATTTGTAAGTTACACAGCATTTCTTTAAGTGATAACAGGATCAGTGTACATATCAGGCTTAACCATAGGTGTCATTGTAATTGGGGTGCGGTGGCTAGTGCTGAGACTGTAGTATATAGGTTGTAGTAGCCCTGTGTTTGTTTCATTAGTATGATGTGTTGGAGGAGTGCAGAGAGAGTTTGTGTATATTGTATTTATACTGCTGTAACTAAAGAGAAAAAGCTTCCTTTTGGAAAGAACAACTTTGTTTGCATGTTCTTTTTCCTGGAGAAGACCACTACAACTACCTGAAGGTATCTGGTTCCTTAACTGGAGTGAATAGAGTCCCTTCTGCTCTAAGAGGGAATTTCATGACTGCATAGAACCCCTGATAATAGTCCCACCATTTTATATGCTGTCAGGCATCATCTGAGATATTGCATTGAGTCCTGGTCACCTCATTTTAGGAAAAAAAGACAAGTTGGACTGATTCAGACAAGGACAACGGGGATAGTAAAAAGTATTGAGAAAAGAACATAGGAGGAAAGGTTGAAGAAGCTGGACATGTTTGACTTGCTGAAGAGAAGACTGATGAAGCGATATGATGCCACTTTTTCAATACTTGTAGAGCTGTCACGGTGAGGAAATGGCAGGTCTGTTCTCTGCTGCTCCAGAGAGTAGGACCAACTTTAATGGTTTGAAGTTACAGGAAAGTATATTTTTATTGAACATTAGAACAAGTTTTTTTGACAATAAGAGGTGTTTGGCAATGAAACCAATTGCCTAGAGAGATGATGGTATCTCCATCTCTGGACACCTTTCAAAGAAGACGCTTCAGCTTCAGATCTGCATTCAACAGGGGGTTAGACATGATGGATCATTAGGTGACTTCCTAATCTGTGACCTCTATATCACTTTGTCATCAACAGCCCTGCTCCGGTTTTACAAACACAGGACTAATTTTCTTGGAGTCTATCCAAGTGTGGTGTGGCCTTCCCTTTCCCCCCCTGTTGCTGTATTGCAGTCTCAATCTAGTGATCTTGGTTTCTAGGAAGGGTTCAAATTTGATTTGCTTTAGGGTCCACTTATTGTAGTCAGTCCATGATATCCATAGAACTCTCCTCCAACACCACTTTTGAATTGAGATGATTCTCTTACTAGTTTTTTTTTTTTCATTTTCCAGCTTTCACAACTGCATATAGAAAATGGATATACAATGTATGGGAATCCTGATGTCGGTATTCTTTGATATATCCTCAAACCTGGGGATCTAGGTACCTCATAAATGTCTTTGCAAGTCTAAACAATGGTATAGGAAATATTTGACTTTTTACGTAAGTTATCTGTGGTGATTTTTTCTTAATGTTCACCTGTAAATCTGCCGTTGTGTTTCCCTGCCCCCTATTTTCCTCAATAGTTGTTCCAAGTGTTTCCTATTTTTGGTAGTACAGTTACTCCTCCATATCCACAGATTCTGCATACATGGATTAAACCATGCACAACTTAAATTTTTAAGTGCAAAAAGCTAGATTTGGTCTATTTGTGTGACGGACACAATTTTATTATGCCATTGTATATAATGGGATTTGAGTGTTCACAGATGTTGGTATTCATAGGGCAAGGGTCCTGTAACCAAAGGGCGGCATATCTCAAGCCCCCCCCCCCCCCCCGGTAGTATAATGTCATTTGCATATCTCAAATTGTTGAAGTTCCTTCCTCTAATTTTCACACCTTCTCCCTTCTAGTTAAATTCTGCTTTATCTATTATAGGTTCTGTGTACAAATTGCACAGATGGATGAATAATGCAGCCATGCCAGACTCTCTTTGCCAATTGGAAACCATTT